CTCATTCAGAAATTTGGTCTGATGATTTTTATCCACTAGGTTATTCTTAGATAACATTGACTGGGGTGGGCAAAATAGAAGAATTTTAAAATGTAGAGTCCTAGGATATAAGCAACAAAGTACAACTGGCTTTTGTGTTATCAAAACCATTCCAGTTGAAATTCGTGACCTACTTTATCTTACATTCTGTTGCCATAGTGCTTGGGTTAAATGTGTAACAAAAGAAAATTGATTTCCAGTATAAATCTTAATTTTTATCGTGCCCTGCAGTGCTACAAGAATGATGTATGTGTGATGAGTCTCACATTAGAAGATTCCAGGGGGAGTTTTGAGAGTTAAAGTATTATAGTCTTTATCAGTGGTTATTAAGATAATATATTTTCTGCAGATATGTATCATTTTCTTAAAGAAGTAAGTGACTTTATGAATATCCTTAGGCACAGAGGGAACAGGCTTTTCTGACTGCTTTAAAGGCAGTTTCCAGTTTATGTGGGTCATATCTATCAATATTTCCTAAAAAAAGGAAAACCATGTTTTTCTTTGAAAGTACAAACTTCAAGCTCAAAGACAAATGCTTGTCCCCCAAATGTTTTCATGCCTCATTCATCTTAAAAATCAATTTTTCAGTAAATTGTGCATTTAGAATTCTCAAGACCTTAGCTTAATAAAAAATAACCTGCTGGATGGTGGGTAGGTGGGTGAGTGGAGGAAGGGCCTGACTAAGACTAAGGGCCAGCATTCTATGCAAGAAGAGTATGCACCTTTTTAAGATGGTAAGGCTTTTCTTATTACATCAATTTTTTCTCTATACACTTAAGTCTCCTTAAACCTGGGAGCTTATGAGGCAGATTAAACCCAAACTTGTTATGTTTGGCTGACACAATATTTGCTTTTTTTTTTTAAGTACTGGAGTTTGAACTCAGGGCCTCACACTTACTAGGCAGGCGCTCTACCAGTAGAGCTATTCTTCCAGCCCCAGTATCTGTTGTTGACTCTGTTTGTCCATCTAATCTCATTCAGTTTGAGTGTCTTTTGGAAAGGTGAGCTGTTCAGTTGTATTGACTTCACTGCTGTCTCATATTCTATACCTGGCACAATTGCCTCACTGAGGTTGCTTGTTTGGATCTTATAGGAATTTGATTGTTACCTTGCTGTCAACATTTTGGGGGAAGGATAATATATAAGTTGATAATTTATGTTGAGCAGATATTCATTTGTGTACAATATGGTTATATTATTTATTCTAATATATTTCTCATCGATTGTGTTTTCATTTTGAGGTAAGTGTTTTGCTTTATTGCAGGTTTTGGGGTCTTTCTTAAGCCCATAGAGAGAAATGAGGAAGCCTTGAGGTTTTTTGAGAATCTTCCTAATTTCCTCTTTCTAATTTATAGCTGCTGGGGAGTTAGGGTTTATGCTTCATACCACTTCTCAGTTTGCTTTCCTGTTTCTGTACATCTCTGTGAACTGTCACTTTCTAGAGTTTTACTTTCCAATTCCCTAAGAGAGAGGATCCAGTACAAGAAGCCCAGGCCTGTGGTTTGCCTGTGGGTTGGGTACAGGATCCTATTTGTCCAAGGATGCATTGGCCAGAGCTACAGTGTGACATGACTCTGCATGGTCACTGGTGCCAAGAAGCAGCCACTTGCTCAAAATTGGGCTTTGAATCATAGAGCCCATTGGTACAGAAGAGACCAGAATTCACCTGTGGCTAATAGCACGCATGCTGGAGTCACTGTTTGTAACTTGATCTTAAGAGTGCTACTCTGCTAATCTGTGCTCAGTTTCTTCATCTGGAAAATGTGGGTAACAACACACACTTCATTGGGTTGCTGTAAGGATGGCTTTGGACCATATATGGGAAGGACCTAGCACAGAGGTAGACATAGAACAAGGACTTAATAAATGCTGGTTATTATAATAATAATAATCATGATTGTTATTTAGTTACTTACAAGGGTCAAGCCGGCACTTTTCATGTAGTAGCTTCTCAAGAAATATTTGATGAATGAGTATGTGAACTAATGAGCTAACCATATACCAGTGCCCAGAAATATACTTTGGATGAGTAACTTATCTCTCTGGTGATTACTGAAAACAATATACCTAGAAACTAGTGTAAATGTTTCATCTCTTCTTTCGAAATTATTTCCCCGATGAGATTTGCATTTCAGATGGGCTTTAAAACAGAGAAGCATTTTTTTCTTCCTAGAGTGGCCCTGGATGATCCTGATTTCAGTGAAAAGCCGGCAGTGGATTTCTTTATTGGCTAGTCAATTTGCAGTGTCTGCCATAGAAAAGTATATTAATTATTAAGTTACCAGACTTTCTTCCACAGAGCCATCATTAATGGATGAGAGAAATCTGCTTTCTATATACCTGATACCAATAAATGTAATTGCTTAGTTTTTTCCCCAGTCTGATAAGGTGTAAAGTGATATAGCAGAAATGTTAAGCCTGAAATTCACAGAGTAGATCCAGGCTAAAAGTCCATCTGTTTCTTTCACAGAGTTGAGTTATATTTACGCGAATAAAATCTACTGTAGTTCTTTGCCGGGATAGAATCTACCTGCTACTTCTCCCTCTTTATTTAGCACACGCACTGCTTAGCCTGTTTGTCTAGTGTGTCGTGGCTATGAATGTCAGGTCTTGCTGCTCTTCAAAAAGAATTGGATAATTTTGGTACTAGAAAATACTGCTCCGGTACCTCAAGTGTTCTCCTTTATTGATCTTCATCTTTTTTGTGTGTATTTGTTGGATTTAAAAAATTTTTTAAATTGTTGTGCTGTGGTACATTGTGATATTTATAAAAGTTCTTACAATATATCATAGTTGAATTCACCCCTCCATCATTCTCCTTTCTCCCTTCTCCCCCCTTGATCTTCATCTTTACTGCCACCGAAAACCTGTCATAAACATCATTGCCTATAATATTTCTCCAATTTATCCCTGTAAAAAATTAAAACTCCTATTTTAGCTGAGCTTCTATTTATATTTACCCTCTTTAGTTTTATAGCATGTTAATTTCTTTCCGCTAGCTCCTCTGATTATCTTAATTTTAACATTTTTATATAACTAACATTTCGAACTTTTATCTTTTCTATTATAACTATTATGATTTTTTTTGGATATAATTGTTCTTAACCTCATCTTTATTGTTTCTGATTTCTTTCTTCCTTCAAAAAAATCTTTTGTTCCTTTTGATCTTGCAGTTTTCTGAGTTTTATCTTTTTTTATATTCTTGGTTTATAAATAGGTTAAAATCAGGCAGTAGAGACAGATTCAAAAGTTCCCTTTATGAATTGGGTATACATGGAGAAGGAACAAAAGGAATTAGCATTGAAGCCTAGCATTTTAACCAAAGCAAATGAGTGAAAAAGGATGTGATTTACTAAGGTAGGAAAAACTGGGGAAGGAGAATGTAGAAAAAGAAAATTAGATTTTCTTCTCTTATTACTCCCATGTAATAAAAGAAAGAGTATCGTAACATCAAAAGAGAACACAATTCTAGGTGTTTTAATTTTTAAAAATTTAATTTTTAAAAAAATTTTCACTAGTGCTAGGGTTTGAGTGCTTGCTAGGCAGGTATTCTATCACTTGAGTCATGCCTCTGACCCTTTTTGCTTTTTAGTTGTTTTTCAGGTCAGGTCTAGCACTTTTTTGCCAGTTGGTTTGGACCAGATTCTCTTACTTACCTCTGCCTTGGACTGGGATCAGAATCTAGCTTGTTTGTTGAGTTGCTGACTTTTTGCCCAGACTGACCTGGAACTGTGATCCAGAGTAGCTGGGATTAGAGGTATGTGCCAGTGAGCCTAGCCTAAACTGAGATATTTTAAAGTGAATACTTTTAGTTTTCTGAAAAATTTATAATGGTATAATTATTTTCTTTCTTATTTTGTGGTGCGTTGATAAAAACTTTTGACATTTGGGAATACTTGCTGTAGTGAATGGAAGGATTTATGTTTCAGAAAACTAATTCTGGACCCTGTGTGGAAGGAATAGATTGAAAAAGATTGAACACAGAAAGCTCAATTAGGATGGAGACTGTGCAGGTCGATTACAATTTGGATAAAGTGAAGGGACAAAGATATCTATAAATCTCTTGTTAGGGAAGCTGGAGGTGCAGGAAATTTCGCCTGATGTACTGGGGTGTTCTTAGTAGAGAAGAGAAACATTTGCTGAGGAGTGATATAGGTGAACATTCTTTGTTGAAGAAAAAGTGATGATTTGCTGAGCTAAAAATGGCATTTAGCTTCTTGCCCATGATGTCTTTACTTAGTTTTATTTAGCATGGTTTATTTAATAAAGATTTAGTTGAAATAAAAGCAATATAATAGCAGTAAATGTTATCTTTCTTTTGAGATCATTCCTTCATCAAGAGTAGCTCATGATCATAGTGAGGTCCTTAAAAGCAAGAGCTCTGTTTTCTTCTTCCAACAATCAGTGAACAGAGTCCACGCCCTGGAAAGCTGCACTGCCAGTCTCCCTCCCCAGGCTCTCTAGGTACAATGAGGCAATGATGTGCACGTCGCAGGATTCCTGAAGGTATGCCACTGTAAAAGCTAAGGGATTGTACGCGTTGGCTATCCCTCTCCTTTCCCAATGCCCGCTTCTAGCCTTAGATTTTCATTACTTTTGGATTCTCTTTTTTTTGGCAGTTTTTTACTGACTTTGTGCTTGCTAGGCACACGCTCTATCACTTGAGCCACACCTCAAGTCCTTTACTTTGGAGTGCTACAGGTTTGCAATCTCTGTCAGGAGCTGGGAAGTGGTATATCAATAAAGTTTTGTGAGTTTAAAAAAAAAACCACTAAACTACAACTCCCTTCCTTCTCCGGGACCTCGATGAGTCACGTGGCTCGCCAGGAATCCGGAAGTCTTTCCCGCTTGTCCAATCATACAGGGAAGCCTGAGTAGCGGTCCCCCAGGCTGGCCAATCCTGGGGAAGCTTGCTCGCTCCGCGCAGCGCTGACGGGTCGTTAGCGGATACGGCGGCCTCGGGGGCAGAGCCAGGGTCCTCTGCCGGCTCCGCGTCGGTCTGGCGCTCCAGGCTCTCGGCTCTCCATCGGCCATGGCTCCTAAAGGTGGCTCCAAGCAGCAGTCCGAGGAAGACCTGCTCTTGCAGGATTTCAGCCGCAACCTCTCGGCCAAGTCCTCTGCGCTGTTCTTCGGGAACGCATTCATCGTGTCCGCCATCCCCATCTGTGAGTGCTGGGAGCGCGGCGGGCGGGGAGGCCGCGGGCGGCGGGGCTAGGCGGGACGTGGCAGATCCGGCGGGGCGCGGACGCCGGGCCCTCGGGCCGCGCGCTTCTCGGCTCGTCCCGCTCTTGGCATTGTCGCGTCGCCTCTGTGGCCTCGGGTTTGGGATCGTCGTGGGCGGCGTTCTAGCGAAGTCCCTTGTGGCACTTTTTAGCAGGACTCGCGTTCCCGGGCCCACCCGGGAAGTTGCGCTTCCCAGCAGGCAGCCCGTTGTCCTTTTTCACGCACCTTTCTTTGGCCATTGTGGGATCTTAAACTTGTATCATTACCTGTTTTGGAGAAATTATGGCTTAGGTGAGACAGACCTCACGTTGAGTGAGCACCGGGTGCTCATTGCTGGTTTGCAGGAGAGAAGTTAGACCAGCGTCAGGGTCAGCCATCCACCTGTTCAGACGTTTTAATGATCCTGCGAGAGCAATTGTAGACTAATATTTGGATGGGAAACTGCAGACCAGCCAAGGTCGTCGTTAAAGCTCGGGGTTCCCGAGTTGAATCTCCTGGTCTTGCTGCTGCACTGTTGCTGGACAATCAAATCCAAGCCGACTTTGTTGTTTTTTTTTTCACTTTGTAAAACCCAGCGTGCAGTGACTGCGGAGTGGAGCTCCGTGGTTCACTGGCCCGGCAAAGCTCTGCTCTGATTTCAGGTAACAGCCACGTCAGCTTTGGGACTGCACGTGGCGTTTTGGAATGGCCAGTATGTAGCGTAAATACTACCCTGATGAATGGAATTTGAAGTCTTGTGATTTTGTTGAGCCAGGGTTTGTTCTCACTTTAGAAGAAGCAGAAATCTCAACTGGGACCAGTAATACGAAGGTTACTATTCTTTTTTCTTTTTTTAAAAGTGTTCCGAGCCGAGAAAATGCTGAACTAAGACTGTCTTTACTGAATATGTCACTTCTGAATATCCTCAGATTCTATATTGGATTTCTTAACACCGACTGTGTTTTACCACGCTTAGCTATAATTAATTCAACAGGCGTTATAATGAGGTAGTAATGTTCTGTTTCTTTTTGTATTCCTCCTCTCCTTTTATTTTAATTCAGGGTTATATTGGCGAATATGGCATATGGATCTTATTCAGTCTGCTGTTCTGTACAGCGTGATGACCCTAGTAAGCACCTATTTGGTAGCCTTTGCATACAAGAATGTAAAGTTTGTTCTCAAGCACAAGTAAGTATATTTTTTCAAAAACATGTGTTGCTTTTTTGAAGGTGGGTTATGGTACTAGGGTTTGAACTCAGGGCCTCTAGCTTGCTTTGCAGGTGCTCTACCACTTGAGCTACACCCCTGGGCCTCCTTGCATGATGTTTTCTTAAAGATCATTTGTGTGTGTTAGTTTTAATAAGTATCAGTTTGAAATGTACATACATATTTTGGGGAGAAGGCACATTCTAGGAAGAATTGGTTACTAACTGAAGCAGAGACAGTGATCCATCTGACAGTACTATGGAGGTAGGTTTTGAGGGTGGAATGAGAACATTTGAGCACTAGCCTTAATCATGGGGTTCCAAAACAAACTCATCAAGTAAATTAACATTTCAGAAGCTCAATGGAATTCTTTCTGGAAATTGTCTGGGCTGTGCACTTACTGTTTATGAAAGTGAAAGAAATGTTTTTTGTTTTAAATTGAGATTTTCAGTACCAATTATATTTTTTCTTAAAAATGTATTCAATGGAAGGAATTACCATACTTTCTGTATTTTAATTGCTTTTGGAGAAGAAAACACAAGACTTACCACACAATACATTTATATGTCAATTATAAGCAGTTGTGTACTCTGCTTTCATAAAGGTTAAAATTGGAGGAGAGTCCAGATTTAGAAATGGTTGTAATTTATAATTTCTGAGTGCCAGGTTGTCATGGAAGCAGGTATGAATTTATGTTTACTTTGAAAAGGTGGCCTCAGAAGTTGATTTTGTGCTGAATGTTTTCTCAGTGGGGTCTTTTAGGTTTTGTATTTCTTTGAAGTAATTTCTCAAAGGCAGTTGGAATTTCACTGAGACTTACAATGCCAGTGGGCTTTGTGTATACATTATCTTTTCATTTCTATTCATTCTACTTCGTACCCTGTTTTTGCTTGAATTTCTGTACCATTCTCTTTCTGGTCTCTTAAAACCGAAGTTTAGGGCCTACCCTACCATGTGCTGCAAAAGGCTTGTTACTGTATGTAATCATGACACCATCCGGGTTTTATTCTTGTTTTATGGAATGCAGAGTCTGACATTCTTACCGTGTCACTTTAACTCATCATGATCTTCTTTTTTCTAATATAATGAAGCCTAATTCTTCGAGATTACTGGAATTGAAGTCATCTGCTTCCTTCCTTTGAGTCTAGCCTTGTCTTTCAGAATTGGGCCTCAGCCTTCCTGTCATCCCTTGAATGTGGTCTTAAGCCAGCTCTCATTTAGGATTATCTCCCTTCCTTTCTATTTTTGCATGTCTGTTTCAAGACCCAGGAAACTTCCGAGCAATCCTTCCTGATTCTGATCACTCCTTTGCTTTCTTATCCCTGTTAGTGTCAGGCTCTTTCTGGTGACAAGAAGTAGCAATCTGTTGGGATGATCTCAGTTAACATGGATTTATTGTAAGAAATGGCCAGAAACAGCCCCAGCAGCCTTCCTCTTTGTTGTTCTGAACACTTAAGATTTTCGGCTCACGACTACAGTTTTGATAGATCAGCAGAGTAATTGTGTCATCTTTGTCATCTTTGTGCTTGTCAGTTCCTTTACCAACTGCCATTCCAAGATTCAGCCAACTCATCCTCTGTTGTTGAGAACTGCGTTCTGGTGAGGCATGACCGTCTGTGCATAGGGAAGCCTTCAGAATTGGGATCTTGTGTGACCTGTCTCATGATCCTCTTGGCATTCCATGCCTTTGGTATTCAGCAGTTTAACTGGTTTTGCATACCATTTTTCATTCACCTCTTTGGAATCAAAACCAAGTTCTTTGCCATCTGTTTTCTACTTTAGGCTTCTAGAGGGCAATTGCTGTATCTTGCTTTATGTCCCTGTACCAGTTAATGGTGCATTTAGTTGAGTAAAATTTCAGTGACTTACTACTTAACTGCTTTTAGTCACAGTTTTGGTTTAATGAATATTGTTTCTGACATCAAAACTCCTACAAATGTACATAGTAGTTAAGGCTCAGAGACCAGTGGGATGCTGAGTGCCAGTGGGTGATGGTGGTAGAAGGAAGATGGCTCCTGAGTCAGCTCTGCTGCTTGCAAATGGGTGGCTTTGGGCGTAGATTTTGCCTATGCAGACTTCAGATTCTTGGGCTGCAGAATGGAAATTCTAATGGTGCCTCGGAGGTGGTGAAGATTAGATAGCATCAGAAGCACAGGGTCTGGCACATAATACATGTTTGTGTGCAGCACTGGAGAGATTGTTTGTAGAGTCTTCAGGAGTTCTTTTCAAAAGGCAGCATGATTTAAATGGTTTTTGTAAAGATGTTTTTATTTTAAGAAATTAAATACATGGACCTTTTTGGAAAGGTTTTTGGCATACTAAGATAAAAAAGTAAAAGAAGAAAATTAGTTGATTTTATGAGTTGTTTTAGTTCGCTGAGTGCTAGGCCACTGAAGTGACCTTTGTCTTATTTTAAAGCATTCAGCACTGAGTAAGGTTTATTTCCCAAGAGACCTAATACACAGAAGAGGGCTTCGTCTTTGAATTGCAGTAAACCTGTAGTGTGGCCTGTAGTAGGTGAGTATTGAATTCTATACTTAGAAAAGAAATTACTTAATTATCTGGTTTAGGGACTTTTAGGAAGATTTGTCATGTGGATAGTTGATTGCCTGTTTGTTCTAAACATGCTTAGGGATAAGTATTTTGAAGATATTTTGTCCCTGAGTCCTAGCACCCTGATTTGTGTGTGTGTGTGTGTGTGTGTGTGTGTGTGTGTATTTTTGATGTTCACCTAAGAAAGGTTTGTTGTAAACCATGCCTCTTAAAGAAGAAAAGTTGTCTGATGTTCAAGAAGCTGCCTAGAAAAGTGCCTTCAGAGCCTACCTCTCAGGAATGAATGAAGAAAATCAGAAAAGACAGTTTTTACATAATAAAACCAAGCAAGGGAGGCTGAACCTTTTGAGTAAAAAGACAGCTGTCTATCCCTATAGCTGCCTTTTTCTTTAGGTTTTCTTTTCTTTCTTTCAACAGTGTTAGCAGAGATTCAGAGTCAGCCCTAGTTTGTATCCTAGAAGCTCTTGTGGTTGAGTAAAGGTTGAAATTTAGGTCCTGGAATGACCTTGGGTGTTCCTTTGTGGGATCCATCCTGATTTCTCTAGTTTTCCTTGGTACACTGACCAGAACAAAATACAGCAGAGTAAGGAGGGATTGATGACTTGAACACAAGATGAACAGGTTTCTGTCTCCATGTTCTATATCCTATTGTTGATGTTATATTGAATGTTTTCAGGGTGGGACTGGTAGATAATTTGTTGAATTTTACTTGCTGTCAGTTACTTCTTTTTTTTCTATATTTATGACTAATTGGTTGTTCTTATATTATGAAAAATATATCAATTGAATTTAAATGTCCTAGTCTATGGATGGGTTTTTGTATTTCATCACAATTTAAATTTTTATCTTTTACTAACAAACCCATCTTATAAAATTCATTTTTAGGTTTTTTTTTTTTTTTTGACAAGTATACTTTGATTTTTTTTCTGCAGCTAATTTGGCATTGAAGATTCTGATAGAAATTCTTGAGTAACTTTTCCAATCTTTTCTGCCCGACTCCATGTTAACTTTGGTGCGATCCTCAAACCAGTGATTAATTTAACTGAAAGTGGTATGGTCAGTCTCTGACAATGTTATATTAGTTCTTTAAGTGAAATTGTCCTTTGGAGTAGAGTTAAAAGCATAACTTTTAAGATATTATAGTTGTTATTTCCTCTTTGTTTATTAAGTCAAGTTTTCTCTCATAACTTACTTGGAGTTGAAATCGTATATCATTTACTGATGCCTTCTGAACTTTGTGAAAATAAAGTATAGTTATAATGATTCATAATTAAATTGTGCTAATAGCATTTGACTTTTATATCCATATTAAATACATAAGCTTTGGAAAATTCTCCCTTTCAAGCAGAAATCAAAGCACTTAACTAATAAACCACATCTTGGGGTTTCAATAATTAATAACCACATCTTGAAGTTTCTTGAACTCTCTCTGGTTAGTACTATGTAATAAACTTGGAACTTTCTGGCCAGTTCATTTTCTTGAAATGTAAAGTATCATTCAGTTGCCAGTACAAAATATGAGTACACAGTGTTTCTGGGAGTTTACCACTGGAGCATGTGGAAACTTTTTTGTCTTTTTTCTTCAGAGTGGCACAGAAAAGGGAGGATGCCGTTTCCAAAGAAGTGACTCGAAAACTTTCTGAAGCTGATAATAGAAAGATGTCTCGGAAGGAGAAAGATGAAAGGTTTGTTTCCTTATTTAAAATGTTAGTGGTAATTAAAAAAGGGGTCTTGGGGAGAAAATAAGTTCTGGATTTTAACTTAGAGAATGTGGATACTGGAATTATAGGTCAGCTTTGAAATTGTGGAAGTGGTGGCAACGGCAATAGTAAGGACTGACTTTTGAGTTTTTATTGCCGTCAGGTAGTTTTTTCTGACCTATATTCAGTTGACTTACTCTTCTAAAGAATGAGGTAAGTACCGTTATCTCCATTATACACGTGAAGAAATTGCAGTGCAGAAAGCTTGGCTAACTTGCCCAAGGTTGTAGGTTAGTACATAGCAGATCCATGATCATATGGGCAGTCTGACGGAAAAGCTTATCCCTGTAACTATTCTGTACAGGGCTTTGTCTTGTGTTGTGTCTCTGCCTTTTGATACCTGAGAGACCTTTCACAGGTCACTTAACCCCTCTGAGTCTGAAGGGTTTACCTCATGTTAAGTGTTAGTGTTTCTTTTTATTTGGCACTGGGGCTTAAACTCAGGGCTTCACACTTGCTGGGTGCCACTTCATTCTGCCAGTCCTTTTTTTGTGTTGAGTGTTTTCGAGATAGGGTCTTGTGAACTATTTGCCCAGGCTGGTTTCAAACCGTGATCCTCCTGATAGGGCCACCTCTTTTTTTTCGGGATCCTCCTGATCTCTGCCTCCTGAGTAGCTTGGATTACAGGTGTGAGCTACCTACGCCTAGCATGTGTTAGCATTTCTGAGTGGAGTTCTGATCCTGAGCTTCCCAAGGGCTGTCTAGTTCTTGTATGGAAACTGGATGCATTGGTTACAAAGAAGAACTGGATTTGTCTTCTGTTGCCTGATTCTGTACCATGTTTGTCAGACCCTCTCCCAAGTTTTTCTGCCAGTGGCTCTTAGAAGACCTACTAAACAGCCCAACTATTTGAGTTGCCTAAGTCCCTGAATGAGTAAACTGGTGCTTAAGAGTTGCCAGATGGTTTAGCAGAGCTGTGAGTTTTGTTGTTTTCATGGATCTTAAGTTTTAATATCAGCAAATTGCTTTGTGGGGCAGAATTTTTATCACACTTTGCTCCAGAAAGACTTTGTGGGGACTTGCAGTGTTAAAAAGTAATACAGTTTTATAAGATCAGAAACCATTTACAGAGAGAAAAGGTATTTGAACAAGGACCTTGAAGTTACAACAAGTGAGCTCTCAAGTGTCTGGGGAAGTATCTGAGGTCACACAGCTTTCATTGTCTGATGAGCAGCAGTGTGTAATCCCTTCTGAAAAGAAACTTTCCTGGCACTGAATCTTGGAAGCACTTTATCAAGTGGATCCTTATTTAAGGGACACTGAGTAACTTAATGAACAATACCTTCTACAGTGGTTTTGGCCACGCACCAAAGCATTAATGAAATGATTATCTCCTGTGGATCTTTTATAAAACTATAAAGGCACAGTATTAAAGTCATGACAAAGAAGGTCTTTTTGCAGGGAGCAGCTGTAATGAGGTTTGGCTACATAGCTTTCTGATTGCATATTTTTGCATAGGAGTAGAGGTTAGAAAATCTAGAATGCTTTTTTTAAAAAAAAAACCTCTTTTGTTGAATTACATTGTTATAACAGTGTTCCTTAAACTGGAATGTGTATCATAGTTACCCATATTTCAAAATGCTTGTTACAGCTCTTACAGGTTTTAGGCCATATGATAAAGTAGGTATTTCATAGTAGGATGAGGAGAAGGTTTCATGCATGTCTAAAATGCAGACTGTAGAAGATTAAAAAATTTCTCCTCTTGTCAGTAGAAATTGATGCTGTTAGTATTTCTCTTACAAAAGCCACAGTGAATACAATTTTGCCGTCTGTACTCATGGTTGACTTTGATAACTGGGTCCAGAGAGTCTCCTGAAGATTTGGTAAGTTACTCTCAGAGGTTTAATTGCTTCTAAGAGATTTGACCAAAGAGAAGGTTTATCAGCTCTTTACCTACATGTGTAGATCCCAGAGCTCCATCTATAATTATTTGGAATGTATACTTCATGCTACTTTGAAAATGTGCATTCATGTAAGGATGGAAATAAGCAAAGGCCAGTCAGACATTCAGCAATCTGTTCCAGGGTGTGAATGTTACTTCTTTTTGATTTATTGATGATCCTGTGATCTTGCAGTATCTGATTGTAACAGTTGCTGCTTGGACTCAACTTTACTCTTGTTTTTAGAAGCTCTCCCTGGAAGAATGAGTCTTTGGAAAGTATCCTTCCAGGCTAGATTTTCTACCAATGAAGCTTTTGTAGAACCATTGGCAATGAGGGCCTTGGATTTTAATTTTCTTTCAGAATAACTAGTATATGGGTGGACCATAAAAAAGTTCTGAAGGCTGTCAGATAATACTGACCTGTTTACACTGATTTAACACATGCATGGGAGCTAGGCAACGGAATGGATTGAGTCTTCTTCCATCAAAATTATTTTAAAGAGATTTTTTTTTTTTTTTTTTTTGTGGTACTGGGCTTGAACTCAGGGGCTACACCTTGAGCCACTCCACCAGCCCATTTTTTTGTGATAGGGTTTTTCGAGATAGGGTCTTGAAAACTATTTCTCTGGGCTGGCTTTGAACCTAGATCTTCCTGATTTCTACCTCCTAAATAGCTAGGATTACAGGCATGAGCCACTGGTGCCCGGCTGAAGGGATTCTTTTTTGGAACATGATAGGAAGGGAATTAGGGAGAAGTGCTGTGATGGAGGTGAGGTAATTTAATCAGCATAGTAAAGGCATACGAGTAGCTTACTTAAGGAACCTGTCTTCACTGGGTCTTGTGGCAGAGTTAAAAATAGATGCAATGATTGAGAGTGTTTTATAGCATCAAATTGTGGGACTATGCATCTTACTGGGCTTGTTTGTTTTAATCAGTGTAAGAATGGTAAGATGTATTTCCTTCAGTTTCAACTCATACACATATTTCAATGTACATTTAAGCTTCTTTGAAATCAGAAGAGGTTTTATAGTTGGTGGATACATTTAATGTAATGCCCTTCCTTTCAAACTTAGAGTAAATTGAATATTTATTATGTATCTTATATGTTTATTTTGCCCATAGAATCAAGGAAATAACAGTACATGTATAAGGCTACAGATCACTTATGATAAAGAAATACCTTCATTTAGCCCTTTATAGCCAAGCTTATTGACTTTGGATTAAAACATTTGAGTAGAACATGTCAGTTAACAGAGGTGTTGACCATAGTGTTTAGTCTTTATGGTGGAGGGATGGAAGGTGATGTGTGTCACCCAGCTCCACAGAGAAGGGTATCTTTCTTAGGGATACCAGAAAAATGCCATAACTGTAACCTTTTTGATAATGACTTACACTAAAAACAACACATTTGACCTTTTGACCAAATATACTCATATATGCATACATGCAAATGTTCCATAAACAAAACTTACTCTGTGTGGTACACTCTTAATATTTTTCTATTCTTTCTTCTTTCATTAAAAAGAAGAGCTGGTGTCATCCCACTTGGTTAATTTCTCTGGGCATTTGATCCACTCAGTTCATTTCACATCCCACTAACGAGTCACAAGCTACTCTTTAAAAAGACTGCCTTACAAAGTTAATTAACCAACAGGAATAAAGTCTGTCTTATTCAGACGCACCCTGGAGCTTCATCTTGCCTGTGTGGAAGGGTAAAAGGCTGATAAAGTACTATTGAATTTATAAGCTAAAATATCAGAACATGTAAAACAGAACAAAAGGTAAAAGGATTTACAGAAGTTAAAAGTATTTACTTAATGATCAAGCAGGTTCTTTGTTTGAAGCAGACTATGTTTAGTTTAGTTGTGAGACCACAACTAGTTTTTGTCCTTCAGATTATCTTCTTAAGGTGAGAAATAGAAGGGTGAACTCCTTAGACTGTAGAGAGCCTCTCTGGTACTCAGGGTGCTGGCAGAGAAACTGTGGAAGTCTGTTTCATCAGGTGAGGTCCTGAACAAAGATGCCAGTTTTAGCTGCTGATGAATTTATGACAATTGCAATTAATCAGTCAGTCCCTTCCTCCAAAGTTCTTCCTGGGAAAGATGGTAACATACCCAGCAACTGTTTTTCTGCAGTATTAATAAAGAAAGTAAAATATCTTTTTCAGTGGAAGAAAGGGGATAAAATCTGACTAAATTTAATACTAAAAGTGCATCCTCACGCTTGAATACTTAAGGAAAATTTTATCTTCCAATGAACTAGAGCCATTTGGTTTTTAAAGTTTTTTTTTTTTCTTTTTGTCATATTTATCAACTTGTTTGACTTGTTTCTCTGTCCTTAGAATCTTGTGGAAGAAGAATGAAGTTGCTGATTATGAAGCTACAACATTTTCCATCTTCTATAACAACACTCTATTCCTGGTCTTGGTCATTGTTGCTTCCTTCTTTATACTGAAGAACTTCAACCCCACAGTGTATCCTTTAGAAGGTTGATAAACCTTTTTAGAAGTCTATAAACAGTAGTTTGCTTTAGTTTTGACTTGTCTAGGTATTTTAGTGGAAAGAAAAACTGCTCTGGGAGTCAGTTCATTAAACAGCATTGACTATAGGCAAGTATCTAGACATGTGAAAGAAGACTTAACACGAAAGTTTCTTGTTTGGTTTAAAATTTCTCAAGTTTATAAAGTGTGATTTTATGATAAATCAACTTTACAAAGCAGTTTCATACTGAGTATGATTGTTCCAAGGAGTCAAAGCAGACTTGCCTTCTTTGATAGCTCCTAGCATAAGCTCATGTGTCTCCTGTTATTTTGGGGTTTGGGGCTGAGTGGATGGCCAGTATAGCTAGGTAGGCCCAATTTGCAATATCTTAACAGTGCTCCACTGCTTTTAAATTAAGATTTTGGCTAGTAGTTATTTGTTCTTTTTAAAGTAATTTGTCAAAGGTGTTATCCAGGAATATATAGCCAAACTTTTAGTAATTGGAGATTATGATGTAATAAAATATCACACACCCTCCAACTTGTATCCTCTGGGAATACTGGAGCACTTGGCCAAAGTGGCCCAAAAAATAGTTTGCTGAAAAAGGCTGGGACTAGTTAGGAACTTTCAGAACCTCCTTACTTTTACAAGGCAACTATAATGAGACACTGAGTGACAGGTGGCTTATTTTTCCTTTGCTATTGGAACAAGGAGCGGGGGAATCTTCTCTGGGTGTTCTTTGATTGGGTTTTCTCTGAAGGTTCAGTGGAAATCAGATGTGTTCTTTGTGATCATGTGTTCTAGGTTTGTCCTAAGTGTTTTGGTTTTAGAATTGGAACACATTTCCTGTGCATATTTTTCATTCTTTACAGCCTCCTGTCTTGTAAATTGTGTTTGTAGACAATGAGCCTGCACATCATCATGAAAAATACCAAGTGTCAATAGGGAAACAGTACATTCCAAAGAGATGAACTCTTTTTATATTGTTTAAAAATGACTTTGGGGTTCTTAATTTTTCCTTGACATTAAATTCTTATAGGAACTACATTTTGTCCATAAGTGCTTCATCAGGACTCATCGCCCTCCTGTCTACTGGCTCCAAGTAGACCATGTCAGCTTAGCCCCCTGACTTTGTATCCATGAGTGGCCTGTGGTATATGGAAAAGTAGCAGGGTGGTCAGGGTGGGAGGTGCACAGTGTTTTTAATAGTCTGGAGTTGGAGGGTTTAAAAATGCAACAGAAAGTAATTCAGTATTTGTTTATTGGCTCTTTTTGACAGTGTTGAAATTAAATGAATTGAAAGGGAAACTCAGAGTACCAGGACATTTATTAAAAGGCAAGAAGTCTTGCAATGTGCTATAGTCACAAGAGGAGAAAATAACTTGTTTCCTTGATCTGTCAGAGGTCACAGTAACCTGGACTGAGCTGTTATTACTTATAATAGGAGCAAGAAGCTAATAACTTGTTCTCTGTGTTCCAAGCACAATATTATAACTTTTTTTTGAATTATAAATATCAGAATGAATCCTCTTCTCAGGAGATTGAGCAGAAGCCTCATGTTTACAGGTCTCTGAATTTGCAATTTGTAATAAAGTTAAAAACATAGCTTCATTGACTTGGGGAAGAGAACGTTGTGGAAAAGTTCCTGTTTTTTTTTTTTTTTTTTTAAGAAGAAAGGAGGCAGCCAAGGGTAGTAACCTAAAAATAGTGCCCAGGCCTATGAGAGTTTAAAGCATAACCTGTTCAGCTGAATGGCTCTGGCCCTGGGTGGCCAGGGAGGTCAGCTTGACCCTGCCATATTGGTTTTGATGTGTGAAGTCACTGGGATCTTTGTTTTTCTTTGACCAGGGTCTCAACACCACTGGAAGAATGTTAAGTAAGAGAGAACCTCTTTCTTAGTACTGACATGTAAACAGCCAAAGTAATTTTGTGAACTTAGTTCTGGAATTCAAAGAGCTCTCCAAGGGATTTACAGTGGTTTAAATGCTTGTCTGCATTTTTGCATTAGGACTGTCTCAACTTTGACCCACAAGTTCCCATTGATTATGAACAAAATAGTGATCACATCAGCCCTTGGGTGGGGGGGCCCAGTTAAGATCAGTTTTTTTTTTTTTGCTAATGTATGTACAGATACTATAATTTTCTGCGTGTATAATGACTTGAAAAAGTTTGAGAAGCTCTTTATCACGTATGATTTCGGGTTTTATATTCCTATTAGCTTTTGTGACCACATGTAGTAATTTCCTACAGATAGTCCCTAAAGGGAATAGATTTCTAATCTTCAGTCTCCACTTCTAAATTTAAGGTGAATGCTATAAGTGGGGCATTGTTTATTTATAGCTTCTAAAAGAGGTATTCATTGAGAGTGTTCACCTTCTCTTTCTGTGCTATTGGATGTATTGGTGGGCTGCATCAAAGAATTTAGAAGGAAGACTGAGGATGAGAACATTTGCACAGTGACCTAGACTGTCGTTGTCAGTGGTTGAGGATTACATTTTATTATTGCTTCTAGAAGACTTCAATTCTTTGTTTCTTGGGTCTGTTATTATCTGGGTGCCATTGCTAGATAATGTGGAATGAATAAGGAAGTTAGAAGAGATTTCACTGCAAAGTACAGTCAAAGTAACAGAGTTTTTTTATTTTTCTTTATTGATAAAAAAAAAATCAGTGAATAATTTGGTGCCTGGAGTTTGCGTATTAGTGCATTTGCCCACTTGAAATGGTTATCAGCATTGACTGATATTTGAGCTGGTCAGTTACTTTTTCAAATGCTGGTGAAGTCTTGCCACTAGATGGCAGTGTGTGTGTAGATGGGAAAAAGTCATCACTATTCTTGGTACAGTATGTTAGAGCTAAGAGATGGTGAAATAAGTATCAGCTTCAAGTTCTTAATAGAATTCTCTTGAATTAATAAACTAAAATTTTTGTGGAAAGCGAGTATGTGGAGTTTTTTTTGCCTTGCATGTTTCTGACAATTCTGTTTTAATATTCTCTTTATTCTGCTAAGTAAATTTCTGTGCATAAGATTATATATAAGGACTTCAGCAGTTTCTATTAAGAATTTAATGTATCTGTTCTTTACTCTTGGGAAATGCAAAACCTGTCTACCAGTATTCTGCCCACATTGAAAAGAGATGTGTGTTACGATGTGCTAAATCAGACTTAGATAGTAAACACCTGCTTTATTTTAAAAAGACCCCATACCCAACAGGAGTAAAATAAAGGAGAGTCATTTCTTTTTTCCATACTTGTGAGAGGTAGAAACTTAGTGTTAAATGTTTTCATTTCCCAGTTTTAGAGTACTCATTTACACCTTAATAAAAATCATGGATTAAAATCTATAAGGTGTCCTATTTGGTATATTGTTTCAACATGGAAAGGGCAATTTGAAACAAATTTTGAAGTTAACTAAAATGTGGAGGTTGCATTTACTCAGTTCTTGGGAAAAGTCTTGCTTAACAAATACAATCAAACTTTGCTTTTTAAAATTTGTGTTTTTGTTGGCCTTCTTTATAAAAACTGTATGAATGGGTAATCATCTTCATTATATTATTTGAATTTTAATTTCCCACACATGTAAATTTTCATTTTTTGTAGTTTTGATTGAACATCTATTGAGACACTGGCTAGTGCAGTTACAATGAAGAGTGTGTTAGACTTCTACCACAGTGTGCCTGTTGTGCCTTTCTTCTTACCCTGTTCCCTTGTTTCCATTGTGTGTTAGGCACAGCTGTTTCTGGAGATAAGGAAGGATACATACGTGTGTAAGGATGTACATTACAGATAATGGGCTCAAGGATTTGAATTCAAAGTTTTTTTTGTCAGCACTGGGGTTTGAACTCAAGGTGTCATGCTTGCTAGGCAGGTGCTATAACTGCTTGGACCATTCCGCCAGCCCTCAAGCTTTTTTTTTAACTTAAAAATTCTCATACATAGGTCAGATCCCAATATTATACAATGTAGACTTTGGGAGCACAAGAATCACCTGGAGGGCTTGGGGAAGCTCGGATTCCCGCGATCCACCATGGAAGGACTGATTTAAGACGTCTAAGAGGAGGGGAGCAGCTCCCGGTAACCGGAAGTGGAAAGAGACATTTGCCTATAAAAGGAGAAGTGAGGAACCTGCAGGTTCGAAGCAGTGAACTGCAGGTGACTTTAGCATTGCTGGGCAGTCCTGAAAATGTCAGATTCCCACAGTGTCGGCGAGGAGAACAATTCAGTTGTGGAATAGTTAGAAGAGGAAAATGTGGTTTTTACACTTGTCCCAGTCATAGAGGAGCTTAACCAAGAACATCTAATGGAACCCAGTGTTTCTTCATCAGCAGATATCAAACATACAGTTTACTTTCCAGAAACAAATAAACAATTCAAAGCATGCCCCAAACCTAAGATAATAAATCAGTCCTTCCCCTGCCGACTATTTTGCCTCCAATTAATGAGGTGTCTCAGAACACTCTTGAGGAACTGGTGCCAACAATTTAACTTGAGTACCGATGGCCAGAAAATAGAGGTTTACATGAGACTCCAGAAACATGCATATCCTGAACAGAAATATGATACTCCTCAAACAGCACTGGAAGCCAGATTGCACCCTGGTACAAGGAAATGCAAGAGAATACAGCTTCAGAAAACTAGGAGAGAGACGTCTAAGAGGAAGGAGACTAACACAGTTGAAGTGATCACTTCCGCTCAGGAGTCCATGTTGGCATCTTGGGCAAGAATTGCTGCAAGAGCTACCCAGCCCCAGGTTATGGATTTTTGTTTCTCTCCTACTTCCATGGAGGCCTTTTTGCTGCAAGCCTCTGCCTGTGTTTTTCCATCCCTGGCATTTGAAGATAATATTTTGTGCCCTCAATGTGTTATAAGGAATAAGAAGATTATGAAAAAATTAATTGTAAAGGAAAAGAAAAAAACAACACATTGTAGAAGACCAGAATATGTCACTCCAAAATATGCCACCTTAAATAATGTTACAGTGGTATTTTGATCTGAAGGAAATGAAAAGCAAACAAAAGCTTTCTGCCTTCTCACATTGGCCAAAACAAAACAGGACATAAGTCTACAGAAGTCCCTTCTTCCATGTCTACCAGGACAAATGGTGGAGAGCTTATAGATACACCCATATACTGATAATTGCTGTGCTCTGTCTTAACCATCCTCACTGTCTTCTAATGCCTTGAATCTGACTTAGTAAGTATTTAGCTGTATAGAAAATGATGATTATTTTAATCAATAGATTTTTTTTTTGAAGCAGTTTCAGGTTTACAGAAAAATTGAACAGAAAGTAGAATTTCCATATACTGCCCCTCCCCTCAAGATTCTTCCCGTCTTAAACTCTTATGTTACTTATGTTACTGCCACACATTTCTTATAATCGATGAGTCAATACTGACACATTATTGACTAAGGTCTTCAGTTTAGTCTGGCATGGTGATGTGCAGCTGCAATCCCAATGCTTAGGAGGGGGACGTAGAAGGATCCTGACTTGCAGGCCAGCCTGGGCTGCATAGTGAGATCCTTGTCTCAAAAAATAAAGAAAAAAATGTTTATAGTTAAAAAAAAATTCTCATACATAATTACTTGTGTATAAAACTTTAAAACTTAATAAGGAAAAATTCTCCTGAAAGGAGCTATAAGCTAGAGCACAAAGTGCATAGTCTAGACCTGGTTCTGCCATCAGCTAGCATTGTGTTTAGGCAAGTTCTTTCATCTCTCCTGGCCCACTTTCCTGTTGGTCAGAGGAAGGTGGCTTTGCAGATAGCTAAGGTTCTTTGAAACTTTGCCATGTACCTTGGTGGCCTTTCTCTGCTCATGACATGGGAAGCCAGGTTCGAGATTTCTAATTTATATTTCTCCTGCCCAAGATTTCAGCATAGTGATGGCTACTCCCAGGTTACCCTGCAGAATATGTTCTCTGCCAAGGAATTCCTAAAGAGAAAAAATGAGAGTGCATTTTCTTTTTTTCCCCTTAATGTTATAACTGAAATGTATTGTCTGCTATATTTACCTTGGCAGATGGCTTATAAATAAAAAATTTGTCTGTTCGTACAGCAAAGCAATAATGTTCGCATTTGGTTTTGATTTATAGGTTCTTTTAAGTGGGTTGAGAAGCTTTAACCTTAGTGAAGTGTTCTGAAGCCCAATGAGAAAGGAGTTATTTTTCTCTAGTAATAAGGGAGAAATGTTTGGATGGCAATTTTTTTTATTTATTTTTTTGTGACAGGGTCTTTTGATATGGAGTCCAGGTAGAGCTTGAACTCTCTCCGTCCTCCACCTCCTGAGCGCTGGATTTCAATTTAGGTCTCAGACTTTCTTTTTGTGGTACTGGGCTTTGAAATCAGGGTCTCATGCTTGCTAGGTAGGTGCTGTACCACTTGAGCCACACTTCTAGTCCTTTTTGCTTTATCTTTCGAATTGGGTCTCACATTTATTCCTCAGACTAGCCCAGACCTCTATCTTCTTATTAACGCTTCCTGTGTAGCTGGGATGATAGATATGCACCACTGTGCCCAGCTTTTTTATTGGTTGAGATGTGGGTCTCAATTGGCCTTGAACCCTAATCCTCGCAATCTCTGCCTCCTGAGCAGCTTGGATTAAGGTGTGAACCAATGTGCTTGGTCTTAGATCAAAGCCTTCTTGATCATGGCTGTTTTGTTAGGTATTCAGTGCAGCTTAGCTGTCTCCATAACTTATTTAGGTAATTACTTTGTAGTGACATATGTGTATTGTATGTGTGAAAAAATATATACATGTCATGCCTTATAATGAAAGATCAGATAAAAACTTGTGAGATTGCACAAAATGCTTTTATTACTCTTAAGCATCACCTCAGCTCATTTGTACATACAGTAGCTCACTGGATTAAATAGAGTGGATGACTGAAGAAAGGATCCATTTCTGTCATTAACCTGGTACTTAAAGGCAAAAAAGGTCAAACTCTTAAAACTACCTGCAGTAGCAATCAAAGATAAATACTCATTGGTATCTCCCACTTAAGATTTTAAGATTAAGAACTTAGCCATGAAATATATATCTGGAAATTACAGAAACTAGCATTTTATTGTTAATATAGTTCTTATGTAAATCTTAAAGTGATTGCTATGTGGGGAACTTGCTGACCAGATAATTAAAATTTTGGGTGCCCTCAAATGTTCAAATAGAATTAAAGGACCACCCCAGCTCCTGCAGGAACATGTTTTGTCTCTCTTTTTTTTTTCAGATATTCACACAAAATACATTCTTACTGTTTTCTCAAGTGGGATATTAATGAGGCTAAGTAACCAGTGGTGGCAGGCCTAGGTGTAACTCAGATTCTGAGTGTTCCAAGTCTAAGCTTTAATCCGTGTGAATAGTTTCATGCATATAGAGTAGTGCATGTCATATGGTTCTAGAATCAGGAAATTTGTGAACATCTACTCTTCACTGGGCACATTGCTCTTCACTGGTACAGTATTTCACAAAGCCTGTATGATTTACTTTCATGTTAATGCCTCAAAAATACCAAGCATTCATTATATTGTAAAATCCCAGTGCTAGCTAAACAGAACATTGCCTTTCTAGGTATTTTACAGGTTTACTTACAAAACTGAGCATATGTGTATTTTTAAAGCTCAAATATTTAAACTTACAGAAGTTATGCCTACAAGCAATTCAAAGTATAAGCAGTTGTAATAAAATGTAAAAAATGAACACTTAATTGCAGATACATTTATTCAAAGCTAAGTTTCCATGCCAGTGTACTCCTCCCTTTTCATAAATTAGCCATAATGTCTTTAAGAGTAGAGTATTCATCTTTTTATCATCTCTACATGTAAATGGACGTAACAGTTTTAGAACCCAAATAACACTGGATAAACTAGTACAGGACCAGGCAACAGTAAATATTTAAAAGGTGATGAGAGCAAGTGAATAGAAATTAGTGCAAGTGATGTGAAACTTGTAAATATGAACGTGAAATAGGAAAAAAAATTGTTTATTCTCCTGTGCCAGACTTCTGACTCTTTCTAATGCAATTCATAACGCATCTGTGGATTTGTTCTTTTGAAAAAATATATATGTACAGCCTTCTTTATGTTAGCCAAATGCCTGAAGATAATACTTTCCCCAATATTCTTTCCATTGCTTAAGCATGAGGTGTAAAGAGCAATGAAAGGACAGGGGACTCCAGTCCAAGGTAAGAAAATAGAATGGATTTTCTTGGTTGTAAGTTTTCAGATGTCTCAGAAATCAGGTGCACAGTGGTAGCGACAGCAAACACCTCAGAGAATCCGGGGACACTAGAGGTTGAGCAGCAGGCTGCTAAGTGATTCAGAAGAATGGCAGTAACACTGCCTGTACTGTAGATGGCTATTTTACCCATGCAGCTTCTGTGGCTCATGCATTGCCTTAGGATCTGTAGTCCTTTTTGCTGTAGGGCTTGTTGCGTAGTATGTTATCAATCTCATTTACCACATGTGATGTCATCTTTGGGAGAACCTGAGAGCAGAAGTACAAAAGCTGTGGTTAGCACCATTGTACTAGTGGTCACCTGAGCAGACGTCCATAAACCGTAGTTAGGATGAAAGCTTTCCATTGCACTGGAAGCTCCTCGTGGTCAGGCTCCTGCTACCAAATGAATGAAGGCCTACGGCCTAAGTGAAGTGACTGCAGTAGAAAAACAAAGTGGGTCACATACATAGTTTTAAATTCTCTAGCTGCTGCCTTAAAAAGGAAAAGGTGAAATTAATACATTCTTTACCCTTATTTATTCAAATCATTATTTAATGTGAAATCAGCATAGAAAATTAAGATACTTTTTTTTTTTTTGGCACCGTGTGACCTTCAACATTTCACACTTAAAATTATCTACATTTGGATTTGGACCAGTCCACCTCAGACTTGGAAAAGACACTTTCCAACTGGTGTCTGGAGCCTGGTGAACTATGGCCAGAGCTTAAGAGGCCTCCCAGGTAGTGGAACAGCATGAAAAAGTGAAATGGAATGATGTCGAGGACAGAGTGGTGGAAGGAATGGTAGGGCGAGGGAAAAGGGAAATTGGGTAGGGTGTGGAAAACCTCCAATGCCATTTTATGGAGTTGGAATTTTGTTCTGGCAGTGGGGAAACTCTCAGGACTTCTGATCTGTGAGTGACCCCATCACACACAGAAGGGAGGATGTATTGGAAGAGGCTGAAAGGCAACACAAATGTTAAAAACATTGCAATCCAAGCCAGAGATAATAAGGGCTTTAATAAGGCCAGTGGCAGTGGAGTGGGAAAGGAGAGTGGGTCTGAGACATAGGATGACATGTTTTCAAGAGTGACTAGAAGGCTGTTGTTGCAGACTGTTGTGATGGAAACCAAGGGAGAGCTAATTTGGGGAATATGAAGTGTGGAGTAGGATACATTGAGGTTAGGCATATCTGAAGGCAGCTGCCAGTGACACTTTGGAGCTTAAGTTCTGGGAGGACTGGAGTTGAGGACTTGGGAGCCATTTGCTTGGACATGTCATTGAAGTCCTGGGAGAGGATAAACTCATCTAGGGCCAGCATTTATTGTGAGAAGTGGACCTAGGACATGTATTACACCATCAGACAAGGGACAGAGGTGGACTTTCTTGCTGAATAGTCTGACCCTGTGTGGAGACTGTGGTGAAGTGCAGTTATGATGACAGATTCTGAGGTTTCTGCCTCACCCTTCCTTTGCTGCAATCATGCTGGCCAAGGTGACCTTGTGTCCACTCAAGTGCTATCCCCAGAAGCCTTAGGGGTTTGGCACAGTAGGGAAGCTCCTCAGCTTGGGAAGCTTGGTTCTGGTTAATGTTTTCCTCTCCAGAGCAAAAGGAGGAGTTTGGTTTCCTGCTGTTGGAGTCTCAGAGGGTCTAAGCAGCCAATGTGTTATTTAAAAAGGGATTGTAACAATGAGACTGAATTGCAGAAACTGGATTTATTGGAAGTTTTGTGTCTAAAATACAGTGGGCTAGCCATGTGAGGGGAAAAATTTTTCATTGTGTCAAAATACATTTCAGAAAGAAAACATTTAAATATTTAAAAATGAAACCATATTGAGGCCACTCAGGGCAAACAGTTCATGAGACCCTCATAACCAGAGCAAAATGGACTGGAAGTGTGACTCTGCTATGCAAATGTGAAGGCCTGAGGTCAAACTCCAGTCATCCTACTCCCAAGAAACCATAAAATGACTTGAATAAAACATGAAAAATACATGTAGTGTTGTAAGAACAAAATTTTCAATAGGAGCCATTCAGAATTTTATATGAAATCATCTGTTTTTTTCTTTTTAAATATTGGCAACTATTTTACAAAATACTGGGCTGTTATATAGATTTAACAAACATCGTTCAGGTTACCAGGCTTGCAGCCTTGGTGTTACACTGCCTGGAAAAATTGGTAGAGTGAGGGGTGGTCTAGCTAGTGTTGCGGGGGCTGGTTGCAGCATCAGGAAAGGTCTCCCAGAGTTAACTGTTGATCTAGACCTTGATTGTCACTTTGGAGGCAGAGGATGACCATGGTTACATCTGGGGATCTGAGTGGCTCTTGACAACTGGAGATGAGGGTTCTGGGAGGTGTGTGTGTGTGGGGGGGTGTTGGGAAGAGGTTGAGAGCTGGATTTCTCTTATTAGAAGATGGGAGCCTCAGAAGGGTTTAGAGATTGGTGGTGGCAGGGTGGAGGCAAGTCTGTCCACTTTTAGGTGGATATAGGGAAGATGGGGACTGCACAAGTGATGGCAGGCCACTGCAGCTGTAATTTCTCTTCAGTCTCCCATCTCTCCAGGCTCTGATTTGCACACACCTCTCTAGCTTTTGAGTGCCTTAGGCGCATTCCACTCTGGAGCAGCTGCCTGCCCAGCCTTACAAGGGCCTATGCACTATGCTTTCCATTCTTCTTCAGGCAGTCTCACCACTGCTGGGCACCCCAACAGCCCAGTCTACTTTTCATTATGTCCAGGGGCCCCATCACAGCTTGTCTAGACTTTTCAGTGCTGGGCATGTGGAGGTGGAAGAGCAGGAGAGGGTGGTAAGGCCCCACGTAGCGGCCCTCTGAGCACAGAAGTCCCATCGAGTCATCTGGCCACCAGCCAGTCTTGCTCGGAGGAAATGCTTTGAGAAGAAAAATGACTCAAAATGTATCCCTCTTCTCCCTCAGCTGCCCTTGGTGCTCCCACAGTTTTTAAAGCTTAGAACAATCTGGAGGTGTGGCTTAAGTGGCAGAATGCTGCCTAAGTAAGCACGAGGTCCAAGTTCAAACCCCAGTACTGCCAAAAAAAACCCCCTCATTATCAGGAGTTACCTCTTTATGCCTTCCCCTGGCAGTATGACCTCCCTCCAGGAAAGAGTGGTCCTGCTGTGTTAGTGTGATAGGAATTCTGTGGTCTTCCCTCTTCCTTCCAAACCTGTTCTTCCCAAACCTGTGGAATCTATCCATTCTCTCCACCTTCATTGTCTAGACCCCTGCTCTTGCCCTTTATTATGGTTTCCACAAGGCAGCCAGAGCAATCTTTAAGCATTCAAAAGGAAGCATTTCCCTCTTAAAACCCTCCAAAAGATTCCTTACTTATGGATAAAGTCTGGCTCCAGTGGTGTCCTGCGACATCTGATACCAGCCTGCCCCTCCACTTCAGTGTCCTCTTTGCTTACTACACATTGGCTACACTGTCTGTGTCTGGAAAAAGCTGTCATGTCCTACCCTTCCTCAAGGCTCTTGCGCTGCTCTTTCCAGTGCCTGGAATACAGTCCTGGGCTTCTAACATGTCGGCTGAAGACATGTAAGTAAGTGTGAAGGCCTTGGAAAAAGAATAATCTAGAGGGTCCTCTCGCTGATAATATTTAAAGTAGGCCGACGCATTTCTCAATTGGTCTGTGGTACAACATTCTATTTATTTACTTAATAGCCTTTTCATGATCTGAAATAATTTTATATGTTTATTTGTCTCCTACTGGAATGTAAATCTCTTGGAGACTGGACAATATCTTTCTTGTGTCCTGTGGTATGGCTAGTGTCTGGTGCACAGTAGGCTCTCACAGACCTGCTGAATGAATTAAGGGGATAAATTTCTTAATTCACTCTCAGCCAGCCCATGAGCAATTTATGAGCAGGATCCTCTGCTTACTCATCACGGTACTCCCACTGTAGCTTGGTGCCAAATGGAGTAAGTGTTCCATAAATATTAGTAGAATTGAAATCACTGGATTGAATTTCAGTTCTTTTGTGTACAAACTGTTCCCCTATTCACTCATCATTGTGTAGTCTTATCATTTCCCAGTGCATAACTGAAAATAAGGGAAGGCGGGAGACTCATAAGAAGGAGCATTCCCTATGTGGACTAGGCACATAGGGTTCTTGGAAGCCCAGAGGTGGAGGTGGGGCAGGTGGTCTGTTCCATTTATCCCCCAGCACATTTTCTTCTCTCCACCTTCCAGGCAACAAAGCCATTCTGGGCTATTTTTAGAAAGGGTGTTTAAACTATGTTTAATTAAGTTTGCACCTTTATCTTTTTCCTTTTGTGAGCCATAACAGGGCTTGTTTTAGGGACAGGTGGAAGGGGAAAAGCTGTGAGATACTTCTATTTCTCAGTGAATAAAAGGGAAACACATCCCTGCCTGTTTTAGTAGGTAGTGGTTGTGATACGCACAGTGGGCAGGCTCATCCCTAGGAGAGGGGCAGGCTCAGGACTGAAATGTAGCATTTGGGTGGTCACAACATACACCATTCCCTCCCCTTAGAGTACCCAGGAGGGTCCCTCTCAAAGCTTCCCCTTCTACTGCCTCTGCAGGCTCACAGGGTACTGTAGCCTCCATCCAAAGCCTGGACCTCAGGTTATCCCTGTGGGATGAAGGTTGGGAGTGGGGTGGGTTCCTGGATTTGCTTCTAGGGAGATGTGGTGCCGAAAGTCCCAAATGGAATTTTGAGTCCATTTCTCTTAAAGCATGGCAAACATTTCTTGAGTAATAACTAAGGGTCATGTAGCATGCTAGGAGTTGGGAAGTCAGTGGAAAAGCAAGGAAGGTCTTTGACCTCAGAGGGCTTACAGACTATCTGAGGGGTGGTGGCAGGGACAGGAAATTATAGTATATTCATTCTTCTAACTGTCATGATGGGAAGAGGGAAATACAGGGTGCTATGAGATCACAAAGGAGAGACTTGGCACACAGAGGGTTGGCAGTACATGTGTGTAACAAGGAACATGGATAAACGTGTGCATATTGTCTTATGACTGCATAAGCATTTCAAGCAGGCAGTTAAGCGGGCTTTTGTGATCAGGCCTGGGAAGCCAGTTCTAGGTGCAACACTGGAATGTGCTGTTGCACAAAGGACCACTCTGGAGTTTGGGGGACATTGCTTGTTAATAGGCAGAGGACAGCCCTGGGTCCATGTACTGTGAAAGCATTCTGTTGCTTCTTAGGCCTCCCTTCCTCCCAGACACTGCCTGGAGACCTCTTCATAAGCACCAGGAGCTTGCTGGAAGGGGCTACAGTACTTGCCTGAATGGCACCGAGGTTTTCTATGAGTTGCTCAGGGGTGGATGATCCCAGGAGCACGGAGCTCACACCCTCGTTCCTCAGGCACCACGCTGCGAAGAGAGAATACAGGTATCAAAGCATTTCTGATGTTGATTTGCTGCTAAACACCAGTCGCAGCTGTTTGCTGCAGCCAGAATTTATGAGCTGCTTTTTGTGATGACACACCAGCTGTTGGGATTAAAAGCCTGAGCAGCACCCCCTGCTGCTGGAAGATGGATAGAATCTGTGCATTTGAATTGTGGGTTTGTGGCTCTTATACTTTCTTCAGGAGGCTTGGCTTCAACTCTCAGGTTGTTTCATCTGGTTGCCCAACCCTCTATGTTCTTGTTGAAGACAACACCTCACGGTGCCCACCAGCCACTGTCTGGGTTCCTGGTTCTGCCTGGGTCCACAATGCCCTCCCTTTCCACCTTATTCATGACCTTGCTTTTTCTTATCTGTCAACCTTCTTTGAACCTCTTGGGTTGATTGTCTAAATTTCTTTCTCATCAACTCTCAACCCCCCTTACACCTTTCCCTTCTTCTCTAGCAAATCCCCATCCATACTGCATCTTTGTTTTTGCTCCTGCTTGGGGAGGGAGGGAATGTGCTGGAGAGAGTTGTAACATCATGGTCTGATGCCTCTCCTCCTCTCTCCCATGGGCCTCAGCCAGCCTGACAAACTTCTCTTTGGCCCTTGGTCATATCCTTTTTTCCTGAAATGACCTCGCAACACTTACCCTTAAGCCCTCTCTTCATTCTCAGGTAGAATATTCCTTAATTCCTCACTTTTCTACCTGCACAAGTGTTAAATCCACATCCTCTAATTTCAGAAAAAGATGTGTGCTGTTTTGGCCCAAAGCCAAACTCTGCCTTCCATCCATCTTTTTTTGGCTTTTCTAGGACTCAATTCATATATTATTCCTCTCTCTTTTCTTGATTTTTTTGTTTCTTACTATCATCTTCTGTGTCAACAAAGCATGCTCAAATTTTTCCCATGCTAAAATAAGCTTCGTTTGACCCCTTGTACCTGCCTGGATACTGTCCCGACATTTTTGAACTTCTGCAAGCTCAGATTAGACTCCCTTCCTCATGTTCTAATCCCCTTCTTACTGTGTCCCCGAAGCCACAGTCTCCAGGAAGTCCCTTGTGGTTACAGAGGACTTCTCAGTCTCTTGCTGCCTGGAGCTAGATCTTTCTGCAGGTGCAGATGGTGCTTCTCAGATGCAGTGTCTGCTGGACCTCACTGCCCGCTGTCCCTCAGGCACCGTGAACTCCTTGCTGGCCTTGTGTTCCCAGTCTCACTGAGTGTGTCACCAGCAACTTGGCTTTCCAGCCTGGAAACCTGGGAGAAACCCTTAGGGATGGTCTTCTGATCCCACATTCCCTTTCAATGGGACTTGGTCTAGCTGATTATCCTTCCTAGATATCTCTCTAATCCAGCGCCTCTCAAACTTCAGGATGCATGAGCCTCATCTGGATGGCTCGGCCTCACCCAGTTTCTGCTTCAGAAGATCTGGGCTGAGCTCTGGATTTCTAACAAGCTCCTACAAGACACTGCTGACCTGGGACAGTGCCTATTTTTTTGAAAAAAAGGAAAAGTTCTTATTGATGTAGAATTTACATACCCAAAGTATGTATTTTCAGCATACATTCAATACAATAATACATTTGCTAACTCTCACATTTTGGTGTGCAACTATTACCATTGTAAATTCAATTTTAAGAACATTTCACTCTAGTAAGATCCCTCCTGCCTGTGAGTAGCTAATCCCTATTCCTAACTCTAGCCTCAGGCAACTGCTCATTTACTTTTTAATCTCTAGATTTGTCTTTTCTGGACATTTCATCTAAATGGAACTATACACTATATGGTTTTTTTGTGTTTGGCTTTCTTCAGTGGCATGTCTTCCTTCCATGTTTTAGGATGTTTCAGTGCATCATTTTTCACTGTTGAATAGTATTCTATTGCATGGATACAGTGACTGCCACTTTGAGAGTCACTTCTCTGGTTCAGCTGTATTCTCTGTTCCTGAACTACTGTCCCCAATCCCATACTCAACAGTTTTTTCCTGTATCACTGGCTTTCCTACCTCCCCTATACAACTTCCTTACATCCAGCTGTTTCTCTAAATATAAATCCAATGGTGTCACTTCCCTGGCTAAAAGATCTCCAGCTTGTGTCCGCCGAGATCACTATCCTAAAAGAGGTAGCTCTCGGGCTGGAGGAATGGCTCAAGTGGTAGAGTGCCTGCCTAGCAATCATGAGTCCCTGAGTTCAACCCCCAGTACAAAAAAAAAGAACTAGCTCTCATTTCTTACCCTGGTAAACCTTGCTTTTTATCTGCCTCTCCAGTTCCATGTCTCTCTACCTTGATTTTTATGCTCAGGAGGACTGAGCAGTTTGGAAATCCTTTCCATCCCCATGCTGTTCTCTTCTCCTCCTTCGCCTCCTGCTCCTCCTGGAGCCTTTCGCTCAAGCTATCCTCTGCCTGGAATGTGCTTTTTCTTCCTCCCTTCCTTTGCTGCAGAAACATCCACTCATCCTTTGAAATTCTCCAGGGGTAGACTTCCTAAACTCCTACCCTGAATCTCAGGCTGGTTGGGTGTCCTTACTCTAATTCCCAAACCCGCCATGGCCTTCTCAATAATAGAACCCTGAATTTCCATTACCGGTTGATTTGCTTGACTTGCCCATTAGGCTGTGAGAGGTGGCTTATTTGCAGTTTGGATGCTCAGTACCTGGCACATAGTAGGCACTTGTTAAGTGTTTGTTGGATAAACACAGGCTTGGATGATTGATACCTATGGCTCTCTGCACCTCTTTTGTCCCTGTTTGCACAAAGCCCTGCTGTCAACTGATACTCTTAAGCTGTTACCATGCCCGGGCCTTTTATGACAATCACTAAATCTTTTCACGTGGACAAAGTAGTGTTCTAGGACAGCACTAATCCAAGTGACTCAGGGCTCTTTTTTCTTTTCTGTTTTTTCCTTGGCTGTGTTATTTCCTGCTCTGAATTTAGAACTTTCCCTTGTGAGAGTTCTGAGTGCAACTCAGAGCTCTGGGCAAATTGCTGTCCATAAACTACCTGATGTCAACAGCAGCTGATACCCCAAAGGACTTCAGGGCACAGGAGAAGACACTGGGCAGAGCTGGCCAGCTCCCTGGCTGACACCTGCGGCTGATTCATGGATTACCATTCCTAACCAAGTGTCACCAGCAAGCACATGCAGAGTGCCTGTGCCTGTTTATTACAGGAGGTGTGAGGGCTGGCTCATGCGCAGGTGTGTGACTCAGGGAGCCGGCACACATTTGGGCCCCCAAGTCATTTTTGGCCTCCCCAAGGAAGCCAGAAGCCCTCCTCTCTGCACTTCCCTTGTAGATCAAAGGCAGTATGGCTGGAAATCATTTCCCTTTGGGTTCTGAGAGTTCTGTGGTTAAAAATAAAACTGCTTGTTTTTAAAGAAAGAAGAAAAAAAAATGACAGACAAGAAAGACATCTGGGGCCTAGAGGGGGAAAAGGAGAAAGAAAGGATATTTTAATTTAAGCTCAAAGTCTCTACAAAGGGTGTTTCACATATATCCAACATCCAGTGGAAGTGTACATTTTTAAAAGGTTTCTTCTCTAGGAAGACAATGTTCTTCTATCTCTTTCAGACTGCAATTTAATATAGTCATACCTTGATGGTCACAGGGGATAGGTTCCCCAGCCCCCACTGGATGCCAAGAGTCAAGAACACACAAGTCCATTATATAGGATGGGATGGCATTGCACGCACATCCTCCCGTGTGCTTTAAATCATCACTAGGTTACTTGTAACTAATACAACGTAAATATTGGTTGAATCCATAGACAGAGAGGGCCAGCTGCACTAAATTCATGTTACCACCTAAAGACTTTTATGATCATGCAGCACAGGTGTTTCTCTTTGTGTATCTTACCCTGACCACATGCCATAGTTTGAAGTAGAGAAAATTTCAAGTCTGGGGTGTCTAATTATTTGCAAAAACCTTGTCATTGTCATCATCATCACCACTTACTGAATATCTACTCTTTTTTTTACATATGTAATTTCCCTTTACTCAATAAGTTTGTAAAGTATGTATTATCCTATCCATTTTGCAGACGAGAACTTGATGTCAGGCTATGTAACTTGCATATGGTTTGATAGCTACTTATTTCTACTCTTCTTGTTAGGGCTGTAGGGATTTTTTTTTTTTTTTAAAGAAAGGATTAAGCCCATGCCTGCAATCCTAGCTACTTGGGAGGCTGAGATCAGGAGGATAGTTTGGAGGCCAGCCAGGAAAAGGTTAAAGTGACAGTTATCAATATATTGCAGTATAAGCTATTTCCTCTCTCTGAAATCATCTCTCATTTTTCTACTACTGTTAACTGCAGCTAACTTTTTCTACTTCCAACCTCAAAAGGGTCAAGGTACCAACAAATGTTCTGTTAAATATAGCATTGCATAGATGTTATTGTGAGCTTTTCATCTCATTGGGTCACTATCTCTGATTTGCCCCAAATCCTTCCTGCTTCTTAAACCATAGGATTTTTTTCTGACACTGACACCCATTCTATTCCCTTCTCAGTTACTGTGTGAATTCCAGGAAATCCTCACTGACATCTGTAAGATTGTGCTGCTCACAGTATATTCCTTACAGGATTGTTTTGATGACTAAGAAGACAAGAGAGTATGAAGTGCTTATCACACCGCCTGGCAAATATTCCCAAGCAAGGGAACTGAAATTCTAAATGCTTTTCTGCCCAATGTATAGCTCTAATCATATGTGGCTTTGGCATGTGTCTGGTCTGCAGTGAGATGTGTTGTAGATATAAAATACATCTTGGATTTTGTAGATAGTCTAAAAAAAGAGTGTAAAAGTATAAAGTATCTCAATCATTTCTATATTTATCATATGTTGCAATGATAATGTTTTGGGTATATAGTGTTAAATAAAATCCACTATTACAATTAATTCCATCTGTTTCTGTTTTACTTTTTTAATATGGCCACTAGAAAATTTGAAATTAAATATGTGGTTTGCTCTATCTTTCTATTGGGCAGTGCATTTGGTTTTCAGTTGATTACCAGTGACTATGATCTTTCTTGGACTCCACAGCACGAGAAGAGTAATTTTCATGACCCTCAAGAAGGTTCCAGGCGAGGCTACTGCTCCAGGATCAACTTTCCATGTGATAGTAGCCTTGACCTCTGTCGCAGCTCTGTTTTCCAACCTCTCACCAACCTTCGCTTAGCTTCAACAGAGGTGGAAACTAGAGCCAGAGGAAATGGTGTCACTACACAGTTCACCCCTGACACTTGTGAGGAGGTGTCTCTACTGATGTGTTGTCATTAAAAGGGAGTGGGGAAAGTAAGAAAAGTCTTTTAGCATACAGGAAACTCTGGGGAACCTTAAATAATTTATATTGTATTCATGAGGAATTTTTGCTTCTGAGATCAGTGTGCCCCTAAATAAACATTTTACCAGGATAGATATGTGGATCAAGAACAGAAAGCATGTTTTCAGTGACCTCAGCAAAAGCAACCCGCCCACCCCTCTAGTAATTTTCTTACCAACGGCTAGCTGAGGTAGCGTGCAGCCCAGACGCTCTGCTATTGGAGAAAGGTCTTTTAGCTTGTTTTGCTGTTTTCTCCCTTCTTCACTTACAATTCTTTCCTTCAACCACTGGTAGCACTAGGGATAAGAGTAATTAACACTTCAACGTTTGTGATGTCAAACACTGTTAATTCAATAAAACACGAGAACCTTAGGGAACTCCTGAATCTTCTTGACCCTCCACCCTTACATTCTACAGTGATAGGATGCTTTGTCTTCTCCAGAGAAATGTTTCCATGATCTTCTCTGTGTTTATGGTTCCAAATGGATTGATTTTGAATAATGTTCACCATTCAAATTGATCAGCATGCACACAAGTTCTTAAACCTTGACACTAATGTGTGAGAAATTACACTCTAGTCTGCCAAGTGGAAGACATGATGAAATGAGTTTCTTATTGGAGTAACCTAGTTTTAGAATGTGGAAAAAAAAAAAAGAATGAACTTTACCAAGGTCTGATATGCCTCCTTTTTGTTAAGAAGGCTAGGTGTCAGCTTTATGCTCAAAGAAACCCATGGTCTTACATTCTTGTAAGTGTCTTTCTCTCTCTTGCCTTTAATCCTCTCCTAACCTCATATCTTTCCTATTATGGGGACTTATTGTAGACTTCCTCAGCTCCTTTCTAGGACCAGACATAGTAGAGCTGGCAGGTATGAAGCACATTTAAAAAATTTTAAACTGGATAAAAGCTTCCCTAAATGTGCATTACCTCTTGAATAAAGAGGGAAACTTGAAAAAGAAGAAATTCAACCCAGGAAACCGTTCTTTAAAACCTATGGGAAGGGACCGATCATGACCTATAGACTCTAAAGTGAGCCTGATTTCTTGAATATAAAAGGACAAGTCTTCCAGAGCTTCTGGATGCCCTACTTTCCAGAAGGTTCTGCAACAGAGATAATCACCTATTCTGTACAAAGCTAGCACTAAGCAGTGACATCCAAAGGAGAAGAATATTTGTAAGAACTAGGTTGTTTTTGTGAAAATGACAAAAAGCTGTGACACTTTGTGGCGATGTGGACTTTCTCCGTTGGGTGTATCTGTGACATAATTGCCACCACAGCTCCCTCCCACAGGCAGTAGAAAGCCCTGCAGTCTGCAGTGGCCACAGGCACTCCACCCACATTTCAATAGGCTGTTGACTTTTGGGTTTTAAATATTTTTTTTCATCATTCTAAGAACATTTCCAAAGAAAATCGTAACCACATTATGTTTTATTGTGATTTTTGGGATAACTTCACAGATGTGAAAAAGAGAAGGGCAAGCTGCCCCAGTTCTGTCCACCTCCTAGATCTCAAAGGCTTTTGATCTGACGCTTCACTTGGGACTTCATGTGGGAGAAATGGCCAGACCTTTCCCCAGCTCGGCCCTGGGAAGCCTTGGCTTCTTCTGGAGGAAGGGTTGCCTGGAGCATCTCCAGAGATAATAGCTGGAGCCAGTGTGAAGGGGTGGACGGCAAGAACAATGAGCACGGCCATTGGGGTCCAGACAACACTGCAGGATCACACACTGCCTGTGTCAGAGAGCCCTGAACTACTCTTCTGTCCTCTGGGGAAAACAGCATCCGTCCTTTCTTATGATTCAGAACATCTTTCAGGGGACAGATAGCTCTGAATGCTATCCAAACAGAAAAAATAGACAACTAGTAGATAAATGCTTCTGAACAACTGCTTTTTACTGTAAGCAGGAGGTTTCAGCGTATACCATGCACATGTACTCATTTATTGATTCCCTCTCTCCCTACACTCAGTACCATAAATCTCATTAGTTTTCTTTTTTTTGTGGTACTGGGGTTTGAACTCAGAGCCTCACACTTGCTAGGCAGGCACTCTACTACTTGAGCCATACCCCAGTCATTTTTGCTTTTGGTTATTTTTAAGATAAGATCTTGTTTTTTGCTTGGGGCCAGCCTCAGACCATGATGTAACTACTGATGCCTCCCTTGTAGGATTACAGATATATGCCAACATGCCTGCATGTTTGTTGAAATGGGGTCTCCCTTTTTGTCCAGTTAAACCTCAAATGGTAATCCTCCCAATGTCCAACTTCTGAGGAGCTGGGATTACAGGTGTGAACTACCAGACCTGGCTTCACTATTTGTTAATCAGTGAAATATGGAAGGGAATTATGGTTTCAAATAGTACATGCATAGTGTTACACTGCTTTTCTCATACCAAAGGAAACAAATGTATTTTGGAAGTCAAGTTTTCACTGCTTTACAAATGGGAAAGTGTTGGCAGAGGAGATGAGGCTTAATTAAAGTGTTAGTTAAATGTGGAAATGACCCTGCGTGTTTTGAAAGAAGGCTGGTAGTGGATGTGGTTGTGCAGAACAATAAGCCCAGCTTGCCAACTGTGGGTAGTAATATGTTGCAAAATACAGCTAGACAAAATTCTCTAGGATTTCCACAAATCCACAGGCAAAATCTCATCCAACCCTATTACAGTTCAGTCCATTGCACCACAGCGATTCCACTGCTTGCCGGGCTTTCCTTCCAAGCTGAGCAAGTGGATGGGGGATGGGGGGGGTGGAGGGGTGGGGGGAGTGGAGGGGTGGGTGGGGTGGGGCTGGCTTCTTGTTCACATCAACATTTCCAGCCCTGCCCCTGGGGTTGGCACAGAGAGGCTCAGCCAACAGGATGGTGAGGACAAAGCAGAACGCCCCAGGGTAAAAGTGAACTGCTTCGGTGTTTCAGATGCAAGATGGACACCCCTCCTTAGTGCAGTGTGACTCTGCAGATTCCACAGTGCTGTGGATTTTGTATGGGTTCATAGCTCACCTTCATGTGTGTCTCTCTAACAAGTGCTCGAACTGCACCTTGAGACCAGACTGCCCCATTCAACCCAGTATTCTTGGCACCAAGCACATGTACTGTGTCGAGTAGTTGCTCAGTAAGTATTTGCCAAAGAACCAAATAAATGAGTTTTTCTCATTTAGGGAATGTCCCAACACTTTTTAAAATTTCCTAGTTATCTCTTTGCCCTCTTCCAATGCTATAACCACTTCTATCTATGTGTCCCCACGTTATAGGCAATGGTACTGGGATGAGAAGAGTCTGGCAACCCCTAATGTTTAATTCTGGGTTGGAAGAGGCAGAAACTGTAGAACCATGGGCAGAATCCATCACATTTCATCTCTGGACCTGTCTAGAATAATTCAGTATCATTATTATTCCTATTTAAGCATGAAGTCTTTGACTCAAAACAACAACCAAGTGTTCACTATTTAAGGTTGAAATCTCTAGGTAAAATGCTGGCGCTAAAACGCTCCCTTTTGAAATTACACCAAAAGGTACAATAGCCTTAGTTTCTTAATAGGAATGCCTGGAGTACCTGGACCTTGGACCTTCTCTCTGGGTTTGCAGGGTTCCTATTTTCCTTTGACAAAGGGTATATATATATATATATATTACTTTTTTGCAGTACTGGGGTTTGAACTCAGGGCTTCACACTTGCTAGGCAGGCACTCTACAACATGACCTACTCTGCCAGTCCTTTTATAATTTTCTCGAAAGCATTTTCCTAGCAACAGGGAAGAGCTGCTAATAAATTTTATTGCAGTATTCATTTCTATTAAAAAATTCTGTCTACACATCTGGTCTCTCTCTGTCTCTCTCTGATTTGTTTTTTAAAAGATCTTGCTATATACTCTGGTGGGACCTCAGCCTCCTGAATGCTGGGTTTACAGGTGTGCACTACCATGCCCAGCTCCACACCAGGTCTCTTGATGAGTTAGAGAGTAACCTTTGGTTTTTATCCTTCAAGTATCCACAATCATTATTTAGTAACTTGAAAAGCGTATTGTAATTGAGTGACCCTCCACTTCAATCATTTCTTCACCAGCCATGCCTTACACTGTTCCTTATGGAAGACAAAGTGGTATATATCCCGAGATGACCAAAGTACTTTTCCCTTTTGTCCATTGTCCTGGGGCTACAGGTTGTCATGTGACTTAACCTCGGCTACTCTTCTTTGCTTTGAAGTTGATAAAGAAAAGATCGCTTTTTTCTCAGGTTACATGCCCTGAAAGATGTAAGCTTGCAAACATCAGTGTTCCTGCTTCTGGCTTTATAGACAAGATCCATTTGTAGTAGAAGAAAATGATGCCCATATCCACAGAGAAATAGAGGAGATGACGAATCCTGCGAGTTCAAGTGCAAGGATAGAACCACCACTGAGCCCAGTCCCACGCCATCCTTCCCAAGTCTTGTCTATGTGTACCAACAGAGCTCCCCTTGAGTAAGTTTATTTGCATTGAGTGCTGTCTGTCATTTCAGTACTGTGTGAGAGAGAAAGGGAGGGGGGGAGAAAGGGAGAGAAAAAGGGAGAGAAGAGGGAGAGAAAGAGAAGGAAGAGGAGAAGGAGGAGGAGGAGAAACAGAGGAGGAGAAGAGAGATAAGTGAGAAGTGTTTATGGAAAAATAGAGGAAGATACAAACAACTCACTAACTTTATAATGTTGGGACAGACTTTATGGAGGGGATGTGCAGGGGCTCCATGGGAAAGTGAAAAGAAGAATGTTTCTTGGAGGCATAGGAGAATATAGTGCTTGGGTGGGGTAGCATGATATGGAGAGACAAGAATGGAAAAGTAGGCTCAACTTAGATCGGAAGAGGATTTGGGCTTTGTCCTAAAAACAATGAGAAGTAATTAAAGGATTTAAAGCAGGGTTATGATATGGTCAGATTAGTCTTTTAGAAATGTAATTAGTCACAATGGTGGATTGTTAAGCAAAGGGGAAAAATGAGAGCATCCAGGTGAGAATCTACTGTAGTACACCGGGTAAGAAATGAAGATGACCTGACCTGCAGCTGTGCAGGGGCTGGATCTGGTCAGGATGTGGATGGGTGGGAGGATTTGGTGCCTCACTGGATGGGAAGGGAAGGGCACACGGCACAGTCTGAGATAACCTAGCCTTGGCTTCTGATTGGGATGGCCAGAGGGTCAGGTAGAGGTGCTGTTGACCAAGAAAGAAGGTTAGGGTCTGGGGCTCGGGGGAGAGATTCAATTATGCATGAATGATGTCCATGGGACACCTACGTGGAAATGTCTAATAGACTGGAAGGAGTAGTGTTGTGCTGCTTGTCGGTGAGGACAGGGATGATGACGAATTTAGAAGTCACTCTTAGAGGCTGGGATCAGAAGAAGCCACCCAGAACATCCCCTGGGTAATCTTATTTGCTAAAAGAGCCCTGAGTAGGTATTTATTTTTTGCTTTGGCAGTTCTGCTCAAGTGGCTTTCCCAAGTGCACATATGTTATTCTGAAAACACTCAGTTGGTAACTTAGAGCCAGAAGAGCCCGGAGAGCTCTGAAGAGTCGTATGTTGTGAACAGCTGCCTTTCACTTGTTGAGAGCTCCGTGTGTTTCTTCCAGTGCACACCAAGCTGACTTTATGAAAACCAACAATAGAGATAGTTCCCGAGTTGCTTTTGGGCTTAGCCACCTTTGAACATTTTGAGTGTGCTTTTCAATGTGCATTTGTGAAACCTTTTCAGATGTTTGCAATCTTGTTCTCAAACAGTGACGGAGGCTAGATAAGCATAAACTCCAAATATGGTACTGTTACCTCCCCTAAAATCCTAGGTTTCAAGGGACACAAAGATGTCTTTGAGGGGAGATAATTAAATGAGAACCAGGAGACCTGGGTTGAAATACTGTTTCTATCTGTTCTGAGTTTACAGCCACAGGTGCTGCTCTTAGGCCACCTTGCTCAGAGCTCGCTCCGCCTCCCTCATGGAGTGTACTTTCTGCAATAAAACTTTGCTATTGCTTTGCAATCTGTGTGTCTCCATCCAATACTTTGTTCAGGATACCAAGACCTGCGATCTTCTTGACCAGGGTCTTCTGCAACCACCCACTGGTTACAGAAATACTTTGAATCTTTCAGAAAGCCTATGAAAGAACATACAGATGGTCCCAAACATACAATGTTTTGACTTAGAAATTTTTGACTTCATGGTGGTGCGAAAATGTACTCATGCCACCTTCTGTTTTTCACTTTCAGCACAATATTTGATAAGCTACATGATATATTCAACACTTTGCATAAAGTAGGCTTTGTGTTAAATGATTTTGTCAACTGTAGGCTAATATAAGTATTTTTAGTACATTTGAGGTAGGGTAGGCTAAACTATAATGTTCTGTAGGTTAGGCTAAATGATTTTTTTTGATTTAGGATCTTTTCAATTTACTATGGATTTGTTTGGGCATAATCCCATTGTAAGCAGAGGAGCATCTATACAGCAAGTTAGATTAGCTACAACTGATGAAAGCCATCTGTATCCATTTCTTTTTGTGACAATAAAAGAAAATGAATGAAAATACTTAGCCTGGTGCTTGGCATACAGTAGGAACACAGTTAAATCACAATTCTCAATTCCCTTCCTCCATCCCTTCTTTCTTCACTACCTTCTTGCCTTCTTCCTTTTACACAGTGTTCCCTAAGATGCTTTTAATTTTTCTTGGCTGACTTGTTTAGATTTGGTTCAGAACAACCTTTTATTTTCAGGAACAAGATCTTACTTAATATTCTGGGATAACTGTTCTTTGTGATAGTACAAAACTAGGAACGGGGTCATGTCAACATGCTTCAGGGGATATTTATTTATATTGCATTATTTTAGAGAACAAACAGCTAAAAGGAAAGGCCAAAGGGAAGTGAGAGACCTAGAGGCTCGCGAAGGTTCTCAGGGGAGGTGTGGTGGACACAGCTACACTGATGCGAGTGTTGAGCTGGCTTGTGCTGTTCAGCTAAGTGCTAATGGAAGCCAGAAGCCGGGTCAGCCATATGCTTCCTCTTAGGAGGACTTGGCTTATCCGGATTTTTAAGATGCCTGTATTCTCCCTCCCTTGACATTGCAGAGTAATTTGTGATCCTAACACATTCTCCCAAGCTTAAAAAAAAAACAAAACCAGACATGTTGTTATTCATGAGGAAAGATGTCTGGAGTACTCTCCAATAGATTAATTATCAAGATGTCCTGAATGGAGGTAATTTTAATTCTATGATCTTGGAAACCTTTATGCAGAATTTATGCTACAAGACTCTGTGGCCATGATCAGTCTCTACAAAGCCAGCCGACCCGCCTCCCAAGATCTTCCTCCCTCACCCCTGCCCCCAACACAGAGGAAGGTGTCAGCCAAGCTCAGATCATACTGAGCTTCAACTGTCTGCCTCAAATGGATTAAACCCCTCTGGCTTAAATTTTGTCTTGTTGAGAAATGGAAAATGAAATCCTCTTACATAAAAAGGGATTTTAAATTTTGTCACTTTCACATTAACCTTAGAATAGGTATTAGTGTAGGGATTTGAGCTCTACAAGTTCAACCAGGACACTGGATTCTCCCCCCCCACCCCAGAGGAGGAGAATTTTCTGTGCAGGCCAATGAGGAAGGGCTGGCTGAAGCCTGGCCAGGAGCTGAGGGAGGGACCTCGTGAGGGCCCAAGAGAAGCTTGCCATTGGCCACCAACTGGTCAAGGTGACAGCATGACCAGGCTGTGAAACCTGAGGATGCTGCAGAACCACTTTCAACAAGCTTCCTCTTTCATCTTTCCTTCCCCAGACTCTTGTCTGGAAGTTGAGGCAAATACCTTCAGTGAGGCCCTGGAACTTTCAGGCACCCCATTTCCATATTTTCCTGAGATGATCCCACAGGCAAGAGGAGACCATGTCATCGCACCAACCCCTACAAAAGAAAAAAAAAAAAACAGCAAAAAACTGAAAACGTTGCTGGTGCAGTGTGGGATCAGAAGGTTGGGGGAAAGTTGGCCAGATAAATGAGCTAGTACCAGCATAGCTTTCCATTACATGCTAGGATTTACAAATTGTGCTTCGTTCTTTTATAAAGCTATTAAACATGCACGGTCAGTTCTTGGGCCTGAGCCAGGCAAGCAAGCCTGAAATTGTGGCTCAGCCATAATCTTTTGATGACCAAGGTTCATAGGCACAGAGATAAGTGCTTCTATTTGCAAAAAAATTCTGTGCTTCCCTAATAGTGCTGAGTACATAGCAGAACACAATGCCTAGTACATAGAAAATACTAACTATGCTTTTATTTGCTTTCCTACTTTCTTTTTTTTATTTTGGTGGAACTGGGGTTTGCACTTGGGGCTTCACACTTGCAAAGTAGGCCCTTTACCACTTGAGCCATTCTTCTAGTCCATTTTGTTCTGGTTATGTCTTTTGAACTATCTGCCTGGGCTGGGCTCAAAACCTCAGTCTTCCCATTCTCAGCCTCCAAAATAGCTCAGATTTTAGGTGTGAACCATTGGGCCTGGCTTTCTTGCCATTCTTAGGAAGAAAGTTATCTGTGGGAATTGCTTGGGTAAAATGTGGATATCCATGATGTTTTGGAAAGGCAATTGTAATCCACTCAGATGCATGCTTGGACAGAGTGTTAGCACCCCATGAAAAATGAGTTTATCCACAGGTCTTCCCTCCATGGTGTATACAGTTTTTGAACACCTGTTGAGTAAAGTTTGTATGCCAGTCACAGTTTATGTGGCTTTCATCACTGATACCTTGTAGACCAAATAGAGGCACACTTGATTCTGCCACAGTCTCTGAGATGCACTGTTCTTTCACTCTCTGTCTTAATTAGGGACACTTCTAGCACCTTTTCTGAATCACTGATCCTCCTATTAGAAATAATCAGAAGATGTGATTTTGCATGTTACCTATTTTATGGTAGAGCTCTGGCAGCTGGACCTCCACTTTCTCTCTTTGAAAAAGGTGGTACTCAGCTTGTTCACAGACTGGCGGGATCATATTGAACTGCCTTGCCACAGAATAGGCTTCCTAGGGAGAAATGAGATTGCAACTGAATTTATACCAATGAGCAAAAAGGCTTCCCTGTGATTCATCTGCATGTGAAATCATTTCAGTGAAGTCAGCACAAAGAAAGAACACTCAGAACACCAAATAATAAGCAAAGCTATTAATTCAATTTCACTTAGAGAAATGCCGAATATGGGAAATATTATTCTTGGGAGGGTTTAGACTGACTAAAGTCTAAGACAAACTGGTCACATATGAATTGTGAAAAATGTAGTTTTCTATGTTATATAAATAAAGAAAATGTAGTTTGACTGTTTTTAGTTTCCTAAAGACTTAGATTAGCATATAAAAGTGATCTCTAGTTTGTGGGTTATAGACAGAATAGTTATTAGTACAGTTTTGTAAGACAGTTAGACTACTCTGTTCATTAGCTGTAAGATGTCACTTTGCCCTCCTGCCACCAAAGAGTCTCTGCCTGTTGTATTACAAACTGCTGAGCTTCAGCCCCAGTGTCCATCTCTTTAGTGATACAATTGATACTAGACTTCCAATTCCAGCGTGATTGTGAGAAAAGTTTGCAAAAGATCTTATAGTTTACACATGGCATCTGAACAAGAAACGAGCAGGAAGGAACTTACCATGATCTCCATGGCACTCCACCTCGAGGTACCCCAGTACATGGTCATGCCTTGGTTGATCACATGTGTCATGGCTCGAACAATTTCTATGGAAGGCCAAACAGCACTCTGTGAGTTTTTTAATTTTTCAGTTTTATGCTTTTTTTTTTAAAGTTTCCCTCTCCCTAAAGCTTAGAAATTTAATGCAATTATTTATTTGATTAATATAATTACTTTGATGTTGACGACAACATAGTCTATCGTGCAATATTGATGGTTTGGAGGCTTACAGTACTTTTGGGTAAACTGACAGTTCATTTTTAGTTGGCAATAACAATACTAAACGGTATTGAAAACATAATGACTTTAAGTTCTTCCTTGTATTGTTTGATGGTTCTTGGTCTGATAAAAGAACCCATGATTAATCTCTTTCCGAACCCAAGTCTCTTGGTGGTCATTTGTTTTGACTTTGTAGAATGTAAGGTCATTGAGGATGGAGGACCTGTCTTTCCTTGTGTGTTGGATTTACAGAGCTGGGCCTCACACTGAGTAGTTTTTAATAGCGTGACTCAATAACAATGTGTTTAGCAGAAAGATAAACATTAAATGCTGCACAAACAGCTGAAACCACAGGGGCTCAAAGCTCACAACGACACACCCTGTCCTTGACCACTTTGAACCAAATTTTGTTCTAAGACACCCATGTAATTGATTTCACCAGGGCCTGTGGTAGGCCCACCCAGTCTGCTCACCAACCTTTCAACTTGACATCACATTACCTAATCAGGAAGAGAAGCCTCTTCCCCAGGGGGTGGAGCTGAGCTGATCCTCCTGGTACCGAGCAGATGTGACACCAAAAAGCTCCAAGTTCAATTTAATGAAAATTCACACACAGGTTGGTGTTCTACTATGAAGCAAGTCAGCCAAATGCCCAGAATTCCAGGTCATTTGATATTTTCAGGGGGCCACAGGCCTTGACTACTCTATGTCCCAGGTTAAATGTCCTGTAGGTGAGTGGAATCCTTGTCTCAAGGTAGAGTTGGGGTAGAAGTGTCTTTATTTTTACTTCTCATGAACAAATACTATCTGAGTTGATAGAGGGCAGGATTTGGAATGAGAAGGCCAAGGTTAGGCCCAGTTTAAGGTCTTAGCTTCTTCATTATTTGGCTAAGTAAGCTGTTTTAGGTTGCTCTTGGTTTCTTTGTTTGGAAGATAGGAATGCTTTCATTCACTAATGTCTGTCCAGCAGAGATGGAATTTGGTTTCTAAGCTAAATATTTTTCTTTCTTGGAGAAAGACTTGCAAATATCAGATCATAGCAACTAAACTATGAAGCTCATTTTCCCTTTATTAAAAATATGTGAGGGCTGGTGATTCAAGTGGTGGAGTGCTTGCCTAGCTGAGTTCAATCCCTAGTACTGTGAAGAGAAAGAAAGAAAAGAAAGTGATTAAAAAAAGTTACAAGAACCTGCTGTTCTGCCTTTTGGTATACAAAGGAGATGAGTACCGATGATATGCCTTTCTGGAAGTTGAGTACCATTATTTGCATCTTGGACCCAGATTAGACATCTCTACCATTGCACAGGTCCCTTTTCCTTCACATCCTGTTTCCTCCAGAGCTGGGAGTGCATTCAACCAGTGGTGCTCATTAGGGGTCTGCTGTTCTGGGTGCTGAAGAGGCTGTGGTGAGCCAAACATGTTGGTGACACCAAAGAGGTTCACAGAGCAAAGCTGAACCTGAGGTTCTCCCTGTCTCTGCCTCTGCAGTTAGGATGAACACAGACAATGAGGTGGCTTGGCCACATGGTATTACTGAAGGTCTTGAGGAGGGCAGTCAAAGAGGACTGAGTACTTACTCACTTATTCATATGGAGAAAAACCCCAGTGTTTGCCAGGCACTGTGCCACTTCTGGATTCATCCGTCAGTCAAACAGACACAAAGGTCCTGGACTCAGGTTGTTTAGGGTTGAGTGGGGAAGACGGAGAAGCAAACAAATAATTTAAAAATGTGAAGTGCTATAGAGAAAGCAAGGGGGGCCTTGATAGGAAATGAAAGGGAGACTTATTTAGTTAGGGAAAGGAAGGTGTTGCCAAGGAGTTATGGTTAGGCATAAAAAAGCTACCTTCCTTTCACATGACTGCTGCATGTGAAAAACAGGTGAGAACCGTTTAGGAAGGTGGAATAGCATGAGCAAGAGCCCTGAGGCAGATCAGAGCTTAGTGAATTCCAGCATCTGGAAGGAAGCTATGTGGGAGAAGCTTAGTAAGGAGGGAGAGCCAGGGATATGAGCTAGAGTTGGTAGAAGGCAAACTATGTTATTAAATATGAAATGGAGTCATTGACTTATTTTCTGCAATATCATCATAAATCCTGGATCCCAGTTTCCATTTCAGATTCCCATCTTTGCCTGTGCTGTGGAGAATTGGTAGTGAAGCAGGGGTGGAGCAGGAAGGTCTCTAGGGGTTCCTGACAGGAGACTGGAGTGGTGTGGAGGGGGGTGGTAACAGTTAAGACAGACTAAGTATGTTAAAGAAGGGAAAAGGAGCAATGAAAGCCATCTCCCAGGTACCTGGTCATTCACAGAGAGGAGGGAGGAACAGGTTTTCAGAGAAAGTGGAGATGCCTGTGAGATGCTACAGGGCAGACATAGAGCTGATGCAGGTGGGTACAGGAGGTGGTGAGTGATCTGGGCTGGATGTGCTGTGTTTGTTAGTTACAGTCTGTGGACAGTGGGTGAAGCTATTGAAACAGAGTGTGAAAAGAGCAAAGAGAAGAGGTTGGAGGAAGGACGCTGTGCAGAGAGCTGGGCAACCAAAAGCCACATGGGCAGGAAGGAAGCCAGAGGGGAGAGAAACTTTAGAGCCAAGAACAGAGTGCTTCAGAAAGGAGCAGGGGGTAGGGGAACATGGTAGAATGCTGGGAACATCTAAGTCTAAGAGTCTGTAGGGTTGGCACATGCAGAGGTAACTGCAGACCAGGAGAAGAACAGTATCTTGTCTGTGTGTCATGGGACCCAGGCCAAGTTGGAGTGGCAGGTGGGGTAGGGTGGCTTTGGAAACAACCTGTATAGACTCTTCCAACAGGTTTGCAAGTGAATGGAGCAGAGAAATAGAGCAGTAGCTGTGGGGATGCACAGGGAGAGTTTTGTTTTAAAGATGGAGCGTGATCTAGAAGGAGGGAATCGCTGACCGGAGGATAAGGGGTCTGGGGAGGAAGGAGAGAGAAGACTTGATAGAGTGAGAGGGAAGGGGCAAAGCACCTGGGCTGGGAGGGCCACTTCTGTCAGGGGGGACCCAACTCATTGTGGGAGACATGGGAACTCCTGTTTGATGATGTTATTCTCAACAAACTGTGACTCAAGGGAAAAGAGGCAGGGGAGGCAGGCCTCCAGCTTCTGGTAACATGTTCTCATTGCTTTGTTTGACTTTTGACTCTGAAGAGAAGATCTGGGTGGCATAGGAAAGGGAGGATCCCGGAGTTCTTGTCTCAGAGGAGGACGCACACAAAAAAGCAGAAGTTGTGGGAGAACCGAGGCCACAGATGGAGAGTCATATTGACTCAAATTTTAATTTAATTCATATTAAATTAGCTTTTTTTTAATGTTAGAGAAAAAAAATCTCCCAAATTATCTAGCTAATGGGAAATAACCATACTGATGGCTGAAGCCAGTTTTTGCACGACTACAATGTGTACAGACTCTAGAGGGCAGCATTGTTGAAAGAAAAAGCTCAACCAGGTCTGGAAAGTTACTGTTTAACTTGTGGGTGGTGAAAACTCATTTAAAAAGTATCCCAGGCAGAACATAGATTCTAAGTTACAAAGATCATTTAGTGCCTTGCATTCGTTGTTCTTTGAGAAAAGACACTCAGACAAACGTGACTAAATCCACTGCCAATACTGAACCTGGATCCCCTTGCCCACTTTTCCAGAAGGTTTTAGCCCCAGCCATTCTGAGCCCTGTCTGCTCACAAAACAACTGTAGTGGCGTGAGTTTTAAAAACCACCCATGTCTGGGCTCTGCTGAGTTCTGTTATCTCAACATCTTGGGCTGAGGCAGTGCCAGCAATTTCTTAGAAACTCAACCAGGTTGATTCTTTGCAGCCTGGGTTTGGAGCACCTCTGCTTGTTTGCACCAATGGTCTCTAAGTACTGCCCCTGGGCAGGCTTGTTATATGTGCAAACCCTGGACCTCACCCCAGACCTAGTAGACCACAAGTGCTGGGGTGGGACTCAGCAGTTTGTGTTTCAATCAGCCCTCCATGCAATGCTGACACGCCCGATGTTTGAGAATCATTCCTTCATACCCTAGTGATAAACTTCCTCCCACCCTTCCTTTCTGCTTTCACCTGATCTAATGCTTTGTGCTATAATTTAACCTTGACTTTAGTTATTTGTCTTAGTACTACTTATACAGATAGTCACCATGATGACACACACACACACACACACACACACACACTCATACATTCTAGTATGAATCAGATTACCTGGAGAATTTGATTAAAAAAATCTTGGTCCAGGTCCTAGCTTCCATCAGTGAGCCTAGGCTTTTATATATATACTTTTAAAATTAGCTCTCTAATCTCAAAACTCTGAGGAAAACATCTAAACTATCAGAAGACCTTATGAGATCCTTGCTCTGTACTCTTTCCCAGGTTGCAGGTTAGTTTTGTTCCTCTGGGTGCCCCATCCCCACATGCAAAGTGAGGGTGATATGGATCCTGTGGATTCTCAGCTTGTGCAATGCCTCAGTCTCACCAGCATCCACATGTCCCACCCGGTGTCAAGCTTTGAAACTTAACAGAGTGTGTCTCTGGCTACTCCTTCTCAAACAGGCCCATTCTTCCTTCAGCAATGTGGGTCATCTATCTTTAAAAATACACATTTTAAGCCAGCATCAGTGGCGCACACCTATAATATAGCTTCTTGGGAGGCAGAGATCAGGAGGATTGTGTTCAAGAACCAGCTTGGGCAAATAGTTTACAACACCCCTATCTCTAAAATAACCAGAGCAAAATGGACTGGAGGTGTGGCTCAAGAGGTAGAATGCCTGCTTTGCAAGTGAGAAGCCTGAGTTCAAACCCCAGTTCTACAAAAACAACAACA